GGCGAGGGTTAACCCCCACCCTACTGTGGGGAGGGCTATTCATAGCCCCTCTCGTGTTTACGCAATATCTTTAAAACCGCTGGACGTATCAAAACAAAGCTTTTAGGACCTTCGGCTGCATCAATTTATTTGACACCTTGTGCACTAATAAAATTTTCGTAGCTACTATAGATCGGCCGGAAATGACGCCAGAGTGACATCATGTTCGGCCGATTTTGATGCAAAGCATTGAACAACGGTAATCGCTCTCAAGATCTGAGTTTTAACCCGGCAAGCGGTGGGCCTCCCGGCTACCTTCCGCGCGGTGGGAGGGGGGGGGATTTTTGACCCCCCCCCCCCCGAATCTCCGAAGCTACTATGACGGATCGTTAAAATTTAAATGGCGTTCGATAGCCTTGTTAAATTTGTCGAGGGAACTTCAATTTCATTGACCTCGGGGTCACCGATGACATCACAGGCCAAGTCAAAGATAAAATGTTTCACCGTTCACGGGTCTTTTAAGGAATGCGCTGCAACATCGAGTAAAGGGCATTTTGTCAAAAATCAGCGATAGGGCGTGAGTTGCCTATTATACGAGCATATGTTGCTATTGGAGGTCACTGATAATACCAGGTCCGATCACCAAGGGTCAGCACATGAACCTATCTTTACTAAGTAGGGTTGTGCGATGCATGTTTTATGGCCAATTTTTCATATTCGCCTCAATGGTGTTGGTTATAAGACCATCAGGGACGGTTTTTTGGTCACTTTCTGGTGGAGGTCAGGTCAATGTCAGGTCAAAAAGGTCAAATTTCAGGTCAAAGTTGATAGTTTCGCATAAAATTGGTATTGATTCGATGCCACTCGTCACGGCGAGTCTAATGGTGGTCTTTGTTTTGCGCTTTGTGGTCTAGAATTGCCAAAATCGAGTTTGAAAATTTGACGTCATTAATTTTGAACAGTTTTTTTTTGTTATAACTTGGCAAAAAGGAGTTATCGATCTAATACTTGGAATGTGAATAGAAGTCCATAGTGGCTATTACATATATTCCGTTTGTTTCGAAAATCGAAAAACTTTTGGGATTTTTTGGCTATTATATCTATTTCTTTTTATTTTTGGGGTCAACTTCAAAAACAAAATCGAGAGAACAGTATAGTAGCCCTGGTAATTCTACACATTTCATGTCTTGAACATTTTTATGCATAATCAAATTTATAGACCTGACAGCTCTTCCCGCGAAGCTTTTTTTTTTGGTCGACAATGGCAGAAATGACGTCACTCCGACGTAGCGGCCAACTTATCATAGCCTTTGGAAAAAAAATTTGGTCACAATGTGCAAAAGGGTACTGAAAGTTTGGTGAAGATCGGCGCAGCGGTTCTGGAGATATATCGAAAAAAAAAACTAAAGATGGATGCAAAAAATGCCCCCCCCCCCCCCACCGCCTTGAGGGTTAAGCTAGATCCTTTTTTTTGCATGGGTGGACTCTACAGGGCTACCAAACTGATTTCGGACTTTCGAAATGTTGAATATTTTGAAAATTATAAATATAAAAACTCAGAAATTGTATTTTTTATTTTTTTACATATACGTTTCTGAATGAAAAAAAGCAGAATATGACCACGTTTCCATGGGCATCACTGATCCGGATCAGTAAAAATGGATTAGCTAATCCAGTATAGTTAGACAATATATGAAAATGAAAATAAGGGATTAACTGATTATATAAGCCTAATCCACTTGGAATTATATCATGTAACGAAGAGTTCGAGAAATATAATACGATTTAAGTTTGCTGATCCGGATCAGTGATGCCCATGGAAACGGGGTCTATATGTGTTTGAACACATATGCGTTGAATATATGTGAACTTCATCTGACAAACACCTTTTTTGTTGAAAAATGTCAACTTCAAAATTTGACCATTTTTGACCTAAAGTGACCTGACCTGACCTCAGCTATATTCAGCTAAAATGGCCTAAACTGACACATACAACACTGATTTCGATATATATGGCCTACATGAACCATAAAACATGTCTCACGTCACCGATGCACGATATAAAGCTTTCGTGACCTGGGATGAGATGGCCTTGACCTGAAAAATTCGAAGTACAAGTTCGGTACCCTCAGGTTATGTTACGCATATATTCACGAGTGTGCAAACAAAAAATGAGCCTGATCTGATTTGTTGGCCGGCGCCCAGAGTGCCAAGACGCTGATATTTTTACTTTGACCTGACCTGTGACGTCATCGATGACCTCGAGGTCAATGACATTAGGCTTCGCTCAACAATATTTCCAGGGCTACCAGGGGCCGTTTGAATTTTGACAATCGGCCCAGTAGTTTCGGAGTTAGGAGCCCCCCCCCCCCCCCCCACTGTAACGTGCTGTAACGTGCTGTGGGGCGCGTTAGAGCACATACCCCAGTGAGGCGTGGGTTAACAAATAAAAAAACACGTTGATTTCCGACGCTGGGAAATGCCCGCAATGATACCCACCCCACCACCCTCCCCCTACCCGGTCCAACAGGGTCTCAAGGAAATTCAACAACATGAACCGAAACAAAGGCTGCGATCTTTGCTGGAAATGGCACTCGTGAGATAAGTATTATTATGCTGAAGATACAACGACTTACTTGTTATTTCCGAGTATCCTCCACCGTCAGCTACGCTAACCACCCACACAATCACCGTTCAAATATTTAAAACCACGGAGCACCTTCACAACGCCGGCGCGCGGCCGGAACTGACATGGCGGCGCCGCTGCAGCAGAGTCAGACGCACGTGGATTGTTAGTAAGGGTGTAGTGTTGTCATGGTGTTGCCATGGTATACCTTACCATAGCAGCAGAAGCACACCCAGGGAACTGTTGCAAGAAATTTCTGGCCTTTCGTCCATAAAACTATTAATTGCTCAGGGTCTCAGCTAGTCCTTGGATGACGCTCCTTCCAACATATCAAAAATTGGCAAACACCTCTATGGAAAGGAGGAGACTTGATCGCCGAATTCACCTGCTGGATCCGCCCGTGGAAAGGTTGATTTTACTATGGTAGGGAATATTAGCTTACGAGGGTATCTACTAGCCTCAGGTGGTTACCACCTTGTAAACTGGGGTACAAAACCACCCCTGATAAACGTAACCATGGTAATATCAACATGTCAAGGCAGGATAGTATTCAGCACCATAGTAGGCTGGTAGTAATATGATGGTAGGCTGATGGTAAAATTTACCAAAGCTAGTAACTTAGTAAATTGATGGTAAAAACTTTTTTCAGTGATGATGCAAAAGCAGACAATGTACTTAAATCGAGGCACCATATCTGACTTTACTTTACCTGACCTCGACCTGAAATTCTTCCAAATGTGGTCCATATCACTGAGTGTGCCTTTTGAATTATATGAAGCAAATGACTCTTAAGGTGTGTTGCGCTTGCCTTTTCTATATTTCATTTTTGGTAACCTGACCTGACCTAAGACCTTGACCTTGACATGACATGGTATGCAACGCATCTTGTGTTGGTAACACATGTTGGGTCATCAGTCTTAGTCCATTCTTCGCCAACTGCGCTCCAAAGCAGATTATGTAGAAACTTGCATATTGCATCTTGGTCTGACCTCTGACCTACTGAGGTGAAAACTTTTGACTCCAAAGCTCATTCTTGCTGAGAGCCTTCGATAGCCGTTTTCCCCGGTCTTTCTACGATCATCGGTTCGGAAGTAAGACAGGGGAAAATATGCCCCCCCCCCCCCCCAGCAGAGCGCATATAGCCGAAAAGCCCAGCGGGGCTCGGGTTAAGGTTACCTAAGGAGCGAAAAATGATGCCGGATTAATGGAGATAATCGTCACCCTGAATCTTGTCACCAAAGTTTTGCTGTGGTAGCTGGCCTGGCAGGTCGACTTGTTGCGGTTGGAGGGAGCCGTGAGGCGGCTTTTCCACCGCTCGCAGAGCCGTGAGCATTTGGCGTGACGTTGAACGACCTCGCCGAGGGCGACTGATGATGCTATAAATGTCGCTATCATTTAAACTGCGTGAGCGTCAAAATGTCAAACTATTGTTCGTTGTTAATCCCGCATGGCGTTGCGATTTGTCCGCGTACATAGGCGCGGGAGCCGGGGGGGCAGTGGGGGCAGCTTGCCCCCCCAACTCTGGGGCCGTGGGGGCGGTGCCCCCACAGCTTTGAGACGGAATACCACACTTTTTTTGCAAATGTTTTCTTTTTTTGTTGAAAAAGCCGAGGGGTGAAAAATAAGTGGCCTAAAACCGGTGAGAAAACTAGATTTGGGGGTACCCTAGGTTAATCTCTATTATGGTGTGCCCCCCCAGTCGGAAAGTAGTTCCCGCGCCCCTGTCCGCGTATGATGGATTCACTTGAAGGCTGCTACATTCGCACATAAAAAAATGACGTCGCGGAATGAACCTTAAATATTTTGTCCAAAGTTCATGATTCTTCGCAGTAAAGGGCAAAAAAAAGAGGGAGTCATGGGATCTTACGACTAGGTACATGGGAAATTCCCAATTAACCTGAAATTCCCAATCTGCCGGGTTCCCTGGAAAATACCCAAAGTGAAACGCGCAATCTGATGCTGCTGAGGCTTGGGTTTTAGATGCGACGTACTGCGCTGGCCATCGGCGTCTCCGCCGCCTACAGTTGTCCCCAGTATGTCGCGGGGCCAATGAAACACATAGCGCTATCATTTTCAGACTCATCTATCTACGCGCCCATGGGAATGGTGTCTTGGTCAGCTTTGCGCCCCGGCGACCTTCAGAAGGGCGGGGGACGCTGCTGTCGGCGCCGATGTGGCACGCAGACGCGTCGGGCCGGCGTGGGACGGCATATTACTGCCCGCAGCTCCCGCGGCCGGCGTGGGACGGCATATTACTGCCCGCAGCTCCTCCGGGGATAAGCCGCGGTCAGAGCTGGCAGCGAGCTGTCCGGCAGCGGCACCAAGTACACAGAGGGGGCCAGCGGAGGGGACGCCGCCGGCGGGGTATAAAAGGGAGCACCGTCCGCCGGCGACCACCCGAGCAGTGAGGCCGCTCAGAGAGGTGAGCGGAGACTAACAGCCGCGGTGCACAGCCGACAGTCGAGGGAGCGCCACTCGGCCAGGTGGACACAACGAGCCGCACAGCAACGTACCGGGGCAGGTGAGCGAGCGGGCGCCGACGGTGGCGGCTGACAGCCGGACGGTGGCGCCTCACTAACGGACGGTGGCGGCTGACCACCGGACGGTGGCGGCTCACTACCGGACGGTGACGGCTCACTACCGGACGGTGGCAGCTCACCACCGGACTGAGGGAACTCACCGCCGGACGGTGGAACGGACATGGAACCTCTTCAGCGAACAGACTAACAAACGTATCATGTGTACTGTGATTTTCAAGGAACTGCCTGCAGGGCTGACTCGAGGATTGAGGCAACTGCCGAATGCAGCGCGCTTATTAACTCGTCATTAGCGGAGGCGGGTGATTAACGCCTCCCTCCCCCACCCCCAGTCGACTAATCGCGATTGCTCGAGGACTTAAGAGGCAACAGCCCTGGAAACTTTTTGTAGCTTCTAGCTACAGCAATTGCTACATGAATTTTGCAATTGCTGTAACTTCTCGTAATATTTTGTCAATTTCTTCAAGTTATGACCAATTTTGTGACCTAACTTCGTGCCAGTTTAGGTAAAAAGAAGTAAAATTTTATATTGCCTCCAAGGAGCCTATTATTGGACGAATTTTAGTTAATAACAAAACACCAAGGACAAATTTATTATCCCAAAGATCCAGACAAATATCAGCAAATAAGTGTCAGTATTTCACTGCCATTTTTCTAAAGTCATAAAGTCAGACGACAGACATCATGTACGGAGAAAAACGAATCACACCATTAACTTACTGAGCTCAATCTACAACTGATGGACACCCTTTTGTAGACCTCATTTTCAACTTAAAAATTTGAACTTTTTTAACCTGACCTTGACCTAACCAGAGGTCAGTGCCTGATCTTGAAATCTTAAAAAATACCTTAACGACGCAAAAAACTTCCCTTTTGATAAGACCGGCCAGAAAATGGGTCAGATGACATTTCAATTAGTTAAAATCATTGATGATGTTAAAATCATTAAAATATCTGTACTGATGAGCTCAGCATTTACGGAATAGCTGACCAATTTATCCGTTGTCAGCACGCAGTTCGAATATTCAATCGATATCATCGACACCGCATTTGCTGGAAGCTAAAGCCCATGCTCAATTTTTATTTTCAACCAGCTTGACCTGCGGCGTGAATTCGAGCTTCAAGTTTCAAGATTCATGTTTTAGATGCGTTTCGGAAAGAAATTTTCAAAACCATCTCGCAGGTCCCGCTACAATGCTTAGTTGCGGGGACAAGTGACGTTCGACTGAAGGCGCAGTAAGGCCAAACCGCTGTATTTAGGTCAATTCTGAAAACTTATTAGAGAAAAAGACTTCGCAAATCTGAATGAGTGAAACAGCTATCGTATATTTTCCCGTGATGCAGCTCTGTTAGCTCGCAAACTATAGCATTATTTCTCCAAGGACGTCAAAGCTGGCCTCGACAGTCGGACCCTTTGGCTCAGGCGGGCATGCCCCATTCGAATTCGCCTCATGTCGGCAATTTGAGTTTGATCATTCATATTTTCGAAATCTTGCTTTTCAATATTTTATCAGTCGATATATTGTCTTTAAATAGCTATGTTGTGTTTTGAAGTGAAGCAATTTCATATTTTGTGCGTTCGATGTTCTGTTTTAATAAAGTATGTTCGATGCCATGCAATTCGGGACATAACGTTTAAATGCTTTATATGTGAACATTTTAGACACCACCCACCGCTGCCCTATCTACTCATCGGCACTAGCTACTGACTCCCAACAACACACTGCGCTGCGGCTGCTGCTGGTCTGGCTCGTACCGAGTACCTACTGACTGTTCCGACTCTCCAGCGCCACACCATGCGCCAGCTGCTACTGGCCAGTCTCGTCTGCGCCGTCTCGGCCGAGCACCATGAACGGATCAGCCTGGTGCAAGTTGGACCGCCGAATGGTAGGCATCGCTCCGCGGTCTGGTAGACTGTCATATCTGGATTATGGGACCTTCTAAATGAGCATTTCAATATTGGATTGGTGACAACGATCCAAACGTAACGCAAGTACGAGATAAGGATGCCGATTGCCAGTGACATGTGAATTAGGTATATATTAACGCTGCTAATGATGCGTCAAACGTCAACATGTCGATGGGCATTTCGAACCAGGCGTTAAAGGGACTATCCCACCTTTAACATGGGGTTTGAGTTGAGATAGCCAAGTTTGCGGCGAGGTTCAGAAACCACTATCTATCTAGGTTGCAACCCCCGCGGCCTCTTGGTGTTGAACAAATTCGCTCCCTTCATTTGAAAATGGGCCTTGTACAAGGCCCTATCTTCAACATGGAGCGACCGTTAGTGTGACGTCACCTCGTTTAGTCATTCTGATTTAAATGGGTTTGTTCGTTGAAAAATCGCTTAAAACTTGGTCTGAACTTTGTTGTGGTGCCTACAGAGTAAAAAGAATCAGCTTTATGACAGTAATGTGGCCTGGGGAAGGAGGTAATTTTGGGCTGTGACGTCACATATTTGAAAGTTTGTGTTTGGAATATGGGAAGCCTAAGATGTTTAATGAAAAATAAATGCCAGAACCGTGTTCCTGGTCATCCAATCTATAAAGTCGGGCACAATTTAACTGGTTTTAACAACATTTTAGAAGGTGGGATAGTCCCTTTAAGAACGGTATACCGAAATCTGTCCCATCGAAGTAAAAGAATGTCCATTGCCCAATGCCCATGCATATCCACATTTGCCCTCTGATCTATATTGGTGCAGGAGTCTAATAATCAGAAATCTCCTCCCTGCTAATTGCGCGGCGCATTACGCCCGGTGGCGGGCGGCTCTTTCAGCGGCGCCTCCTGATGACACCGGGCCGGCCTGTTTGTTTGCAGAGTGTGTCGCCAACACGTGCGGCGACAGATACACGTGCGAGGTGCGGGAGTGCCGCTGCGAGGCCTGCATCCCAAGTGAGTGACACAGGAAACTGAACCCGCCACCGGAGGCCTTCAGGTGATCGATAGAATGACCATGTCGCTTGTGCATCCTTCTGCACGACACACCCGGTGCCAGTAGTCAGTACCCACGCAGCTGGCAAAGAGCGTGGTAGGTGCGGTTTGTGAAGGATCTAAATGATGTAGCACGTGGAACCCAACGAGGAACGTGGGGTAGGAGCAAGAGGAGGTTGGTGCGTTGACCGCACCAAGGAGGCAGGTGCCGTCAGTTTTAACCCGCGCCCCGCTGGGGGGGGGGGGGCAGAATCTGCCCCCTCCCGTTTTTGCCAATAACTTCTAAACGCGTTACGCCAGCGACGTCAAACTTTCAGTACCTTATTATACATCAATTTGACACATTCCCTAAACATTTGAGCGAAATCCGTCGGGAAATTTTTGAGAAATTGACGTTTTAGTGACGTCATGTTCGCCATTTTCGCCTCAAAAACGGCAAAATTTCAAACGCCGCTAACATTTTCATTTGTAAAGGAATGAAGACGTTACAAAAAGATTATACGCGATTCTACTTTGTCTATCAAATGGCTATCTCGGTTTTTGAAAACTTTGGATTTTGGCCCAAACTTTTTTTTTTCTAAAAAAAAAACTGAATTTTTTGGGAAAATAATTATAAAATCCAAAATTTTGAGTGTAAAAAAAAACGGAATATATGTCAGAGAACTGGTCTATGTGCACCTACATACCAATTTTTAGAAAAATCGGTTAAAAATGTGGGAGTTATTCAAAATTTTATGACGTAACGACACACAAAATTTTGAAAAATGATTTTTTGGAAGTTCTAGACCTCGTACGGAAACAAAAATAGCACCATTCGATTTGCCGTAAAAAACTGCATCAGATAGACACCTTTTTAGGCGTTAACAACCAACTTCAAAATTTGACCTCACTTGACCTAACCTTGACCTGACCTCGACCTGAAATTCATCCAGAGGTGGTCCATATCACTTATTGAGTGTGCCTATTGAATTCTATGAGTAAAATGACCCATAAAACATGTGTCGCACATGCCCTTTTCTATATTTTGTTTTTGGTGACCTGACCTGACCTGACCTGACCTTGACCTTTGAATGACATTGTATGCAACGAATATTGTCTTGCTAGTCTAAGAACACGTTTTGGGCAATCAGTCTCAGTCCATTCTTCGGCAACTACGGTGCAAGGCCGATATTGTAGAAACTTGCATTTTGTACTCTTGGCCTGACCTTGACCTGACCTCTGACCTACTAAAGCAAAAAAATTGGGCTCTTAAGATCCGCCTTGTTGAGAGCTTTCGATTGCCGTTTTCCCCGTCTTTCTACGACCATCGGTTCGGAAGTTAGACAGGGGGGGGGCAGAATCTGCTCCCCCCCCCCCCCCCCAGCAGGGCGCGTATGGCTGAATAGCCCAGCGGGGCGCGGGTTAATGTTCCAATCTCAAAGGTCAGCCCGTGTGCCGTATTTAATTTCTCACGGCAAGCATTCCTAAAATGCAATGTATTAAAACAAAATTGCATTTAAACGTCATCCTCAGAGACTTAAGTCCACTTGGAGGTACCTCATAACTCATATAAGGCCCCTCCGAGTCACACCTCTCACGGGAAGAAAAACAAAGGCATTGACTTCAAGAGATAAACTCAATGAGCCAGCCCCAGTTGCTGCGTACCTATCTGATTACCCAGGTAATACACGTCTATTGGTTTCAGGGTAGGACGATGAAAACAATGCCGTGGAAATGAGCAACAGTTCACTTTTGCCCTGATCCCCACCAGTGTTACGCGATTTCTGACACGGAATCACCACCCGCACCGAATCTTCACCTTCGTTTTAAGTCGCTTTATTCCCGCAAGTCGTGTTCGTCACTTCCGCTCCTGACACCATCGCCCAGCCAGCGCTATTTATATGATTGTGGTGACTGGTGAAACCAGTGATCCGGTTACTGCCTGCGTTTCAGAGAAGCTGACTTGCAAGGACATCAAGTGTGAGCCGAACGAGAAATGCGTCCAGACCGCTGACGGGCCAGAGTGCCAGCCCAGTGAGTCCACTATGAGTCACCCTTGTACAGCTCTGCATAAACCGATTACGAACTGATTACACCTACTCCGCTCTTCACATACCCATCTGACAGGGATAGGACGTGAATGAACATCGAAATGGAATGTCGCTAAAGGGAGGGGTGAGTTCTTGGGGTATCCTTGGGTTGGGTGGAGCTTCACAATCACCACCCAACGGTGCCGGGCTATGCTGGACTGGCCGGGCCTGACACGTCTGGGGACAGGTCTCCCTGGGGCTGACATTGTGATTGAGGGCAGCTTCTCCGGGTGTGCATCACAGGGACATGTGCGACATACTGACTGGTTTAGGGATATGTGCGACATACTGCCGCCGTGACTGGTCACAGGGACCTGTGTGACATACTGACGCCGTCACTGTGACTGTGACCGGTTACAGGGACTTTTATTTTTTTTTTATTTAGGCCTCCCTCCAACGGGCACTTGTGGCCCAATTACAGGAGGGCTCCTCCTCCTCCTGGCCCTTGTTCCCCCACCCCCCATGGGCTACGGCTGAAGTGGGAGCCTACCCCACACCTGGTGACACAGCCGGGGACGACGCCCGCGGAACGGGCGGAACCGGGAATCGAACCCGAAACCCGGCACCGCCCGCACCGCGGGTCGACGCCTTAACCGACTGCGCCACCAGGGCCCAGGGCCGACTTGTGCGACACACTGACGCCGTGACTGTTACAGGGACCTGTGCCGACATACTGACGCCGTGTCTGGTTACAGGGACCTGTGCGATATACTGACGCCGTGACTGTTACCTGTGCCGACATACTGACGCCGTGACTGGTTACAGGGACCTGTGCCGACATACTGACGCCGTGACTGGTTACAGGGACCTGTGCCGACATACTGACGCCGTGACTGGTTACAGGGACCTGTGCCGACATACTGACGCCGTGACTGGTTACAGGGACCTGTGCCGACATACTGACGCCGTGACTGGTTACAGGGACCTGTGCCGACATACTGACGCCGTGACTGGTTACAGGGACCTGTGCCGACATACTGACGCCGTGACTGGTTACAGGGACCTGTGCCGACATACTGACGCCGTGACTGGTTACAGGGACCTGTGCCGACATACTGACGCCGTGACTGGTTACAGGGACCTGTGCCGACATACTGACGCCGTGACTGGTTACAGGGACCTGTGCCGACATACTGACGCCGTGACTGTTACCTGTGCCGACATACTGACGCCGTGACTGGTTACAGGGACCTGTGCCGACATTGTGATTGAGGGCAGCTTCTCCGGGTGTGCATCACAGGGACATGTGCGACATACTGACTGGTTTAGGGATATGTGCGACATACTGCCGCCGTGACTGGTCACAGGGACCTGTGTGACATACTGACGCCGTCACTGTGACTGTGACCGGTTACAGGGACTTTTTTATTTTTTTTTATTTAGGCCTCCCTCCAACGGGCACTTGTGGCCCAATTACAGGAGGGCTCCTCCTCCTCCTGGCCCTTGTTCCCCCACCCCCCAGGCTACGGCTGAAGTGGGAGCCTACTCCACACCTGGTGACACAGCCGGGGACGACGCCCGCGGAACGGGCGGAACCGGGAATCGAACCCGAAACCCGGCACCGCCCGCACCGCGGGTCGACGCCTTAACCGACTGCGCCACCAGGGCCCAGGGCCGACTTGTGCGACACACTGACGCCGTGACTGTTACAGGGACCTGTGCCGACATACTGACGCCGTGTCTGGTTACAGGGACCTGTGCGATATACTGACGCCGTGACTGTTACCTGTGCCGACATACTGACGCCGTGACTGGTTACAGGGACCTGTGCCGACATACTGACGCCGTGACTGGTTACAGGGACCTGTGCCGACATACTGACGCCGTGACTGGTTACAGGGACCTGTGCCGACATACTGACGCCGTGACTGGTTACAGGGACCTGTGCCGACATACTGACGCCGTGACTGGTTACAGGGACCTGTGCGACACACTGACGCCGTGACTGGTTACAGTGACCTGTGTGACATACTGACGCCGTGACCGGTTACAGGGACTTGTGCCGACACACTGACGCCGTGACTGGTTACAGGGACCTGTGCCGACATACTGACGCCGTGACTGGTTACAGGGACCTGTGCCGACATACTGACGCCGTGACTGGTTACAGGGACCTGTGCGACATACTGACGCCGTGACTGGTTACAGGGACCTGTGCCGACATACTGACGCCGTGACTGGTTACAGGGACCTGTGTGACATACTGACGCCGTGACCGGTTACAGGGACTTGTGCCGACACACTGACGCCGTGACTGGTTACAGGGACCTGTGCCGACATACTGACGCCGTGACTGGTTACAGGGACCTGTGCGACATACTGACGCCGTGACTGGTTACAGGGACCTGTGCCGACATACTGACGCCGTGACTGGTTACAGGGACCTGTGCCGACATACTGACGCCGTGACTGGTTACAGGGACCTGTGCCGACATACTGACGCCGTGACTGGTTACAGGGACCTGTGCCGACATACTGACGCCGTGACTGTTACCTGTGCCGACATACTGACGCCGTGACTGGTTACAGGGACCTGTGCCGACATACTGACGCCGTGACTGGTTACAGGGACCTGTGCCGACATACTGACGCCGTGACTGGTTACAGGGACCTGTGCGACATACTGACGCCGTGACTGGTTACAGGGACCTGTGCGACATACTGACGCCGTGACTGGTTACAGGGACCTGTGCCGACATACTGACGCCGTGACCGGTTACAGGGACCTGTGCCGACATCCGGTGTGCTGCCGGAGAGAAGTGTGACGAGCTGCCCGACGGACCCGACTGCGTGCCAGGTGAGGAGCGATGAACGCAAACGTCGAACAAATACCTCCATATGCATAGACATACAAACAAATAAACAGTGCGAATACGTTGATTCCTCGAACCGGCCAGGGGTAGTTTTAAATAAGCAATGCAAAACAACATAATGTTCAAGGCTGAAAGATGTCTCTTGCTGAACAAGAAAACGAAAAAATAACGAAGCAGCCTTTCCGTTACACCTCTGTTTTTATTGGCGCCATGGTATCCGTACACAAAAACGACCATCGATGATCGATCATTTCGCACATCGGAGAAGAAATCCGACACATATACCTTACGCGACATTTTAACCGTGTGTACACAGACGTGCCGACGTGCGAGGGCTTCTTCTGCCGTCGCGGCACCAACTGCTACATTCGCCAGGGCTCGCCCATCTGTCTGCCCAACACGTGCGAGGTGCGCGAATGTGAGCCGGGCCTCAACTGTATCGACACGCCCGACGGAGCGCTCTGCCGCAAGGGAGAACGTGAGTACACCACTCACAGAAGACAGACCTCACCTTCGGCTTCGCTGTGGTTATTAGCTGACCAGCTTATGTAAATGCTGGGCCTGTCCAATGTCCATATCCGTCGCATCTTGATGCTTGATTCATGGAGACCAAATGAAGCCTTAATATCCATTTTCGAATTTATAAAATTATTTTCATGAAATGGTAAGGCTTTTTATTAAAATAACCAAACAACATTCAGATATATTTTAACGTGCTACATAAAATAAGTTACGATGCAATGCGTAGACTATTTGAGACCGCCAAGGACGGCTTCTATTCGTCTGACGCCGACAACCGTACTCCACCTGACGCCGACCTCTGTTCCAGCTATCGGCACGTGCGAGGGCAAGTACTGTCCGCCCAACACCGTGTGCCAGACGTCGGCCCAAGGACCGACCTGCGCACACATCTGAGGGACGATTCGAATCGACCTGCGCGCACATCTGAGGGGCGACTCGAATCGACCTGCGCCCACATCTGAGGACCCGACGCCGACCTGCAACCACATTTGAGGGCTCGAGGACCGACCTGCGCCATACCTGAGGACCCGCGGCCCGAGGTCACAAGTGACGATGGAAGGACCGATCTGCACCCACACTGCAGAGGATCTGAGGGGTGACTTGGACCGACCACCTCTCAGGCCGTCCACGCCTGAGAGGCACGCCCCTCTGCAAAGATAAACGGTGATGGTAGTTCGGACCAGAATTCAAACAAGGTTTGCGCAGAAAAGTGTTTACTTTTTTAACCGATGCGAACGCAATGCGCATGCTTATGTATCTGATGAAGCCTGTAATCTGCCCAGTAACCGATGGCTTCCTGCGACCGTTAATTCCTGTTTAGGGCTGTGCGCTGATTGGCAATGTTGGTAGGGGATATGACAAGGGACTGTCATACTACAACGCGAAGGATAATTGAAATAAATATTGATGCGGATCTGCAGCAGGTACAGTTTGGCCGTGGCAGTGGTGGAGGGGTGAGGGCACCACTATCCTACTTGGAGTTTATTCATTTCGCGTCTTGGTACGACAGATAAATCCAGCTATTGCAATAAATTACGGGAGATAATGCCTGCTTTCCATACCACTTATCAAATAATTGTGGTTCTCGACATTCCGTGCCATTTCTTTCGACACTCAACCAAGGTGTTTTCTACTGCCTATTGAATAAACCCTGGTTAAATCCTAACTTGATAAACTGAGCACGATACAAATTACACCATTGGAATTTGGAAGAGTTAAAAAATATTAACGTATCAGAGACCACGACTGCTTGGCCATCCGATGAGATTCCTCTCCAAAGAAACACGGTTAGAATCTGCTCTTAGCGCTGGTACCACCATGCTCAATTACGTAAGACACCTCAGGGCCGAAAACGCATATTTTTTCGACCAGGTTAAAAATTTAGGATAAAATCTTGAACAAAAAATATCGGAACTCTGGGAACTCACAATGCGCAAGACGCACTCGAGTCTGATGACGAGTGGAAGTTCCCGGAAGGATGACAAACCGGATGTCGCGTCAGAGCTGCTCGTTTCGGGAGGACTCGGGTGAGCCAGCGTCTGAGGCAGCTCTGTGACGCATTTTACACAAATCGCCTCGATAACACTAATCCGTCCATTATACAACCCACCGCACTCTCCCCTGTTTGCAGGTATTCCCGGTGTTCAATAGCCATCAAAACGATTTAATGAAAACATAGGACCTTTAATTCTAACCCTACACCCGGCACCCAGTGTGGGTATCATCCAACTTTGCTATGATGGGGAACTTATGGCAAGACCCGATTGCAAAAAAGCTATAGATAGACGCGAAAATCAATCGATTGCAATCAATAATTCAACCAGAAGCACAAACGTTATGTTTTCGCTGAGGCTAACACTGGTCAACGCTGCCGGCACTAAACGTCGTCAAAAGTAGCATTTTTCGTCAAAGTTCAAATTTTTTGAAATTATTTTCATAAAACGCCACATCAATCGTGAACCAAAAGAGCTGCAGCATCGCAGAAAAGCGCATTCGATAGCCCTTTCGAGGTTCCTTCGTTGGCATGCTCTCAGAGTTGACCGCATGTCACCATTGAACAGTTTGGCCCACAGACAGCGAAAATCGCCAAAATAGACGGACTTCGTCAACCCGTTTTCCTGCAAAACAAACACAGCTTCAAATTTATATGCGATGAGCTGTGGGAATGACAGCAATTTTTTAAGCATGGCCACTTGCCTGGCCATGACGACTTGCTCTTATACCGAAATGCGATTTCCGATTGATCCCAATATTACTTACAGATGCATACAACGTTTATCATGGTGACGCATGCGTAAAAAATTCCCTGAGATGCTGCGTTTCTTATGTAATAAACTCAGCGGGGAGCTTTGTCGGTAATGAGTGTTCAGGCGCCAACGAGGTGGTTTGTTACGTGTGACAGCCATCACCGGGACAGTCGTAAAATCGGCCTTACGTAATAACACCCTGCATGAACAGAGCGCGCATACCGATGGGTCCACTGGAGCCTGACCTCATCGCCAGATAGCACCCTGGCCAGCATTGAATCCATCACGCATTTCTTATCACTGCACATTAAAATCGGATGACCTGACATCTATGCAATATACCTAAATGTATTCAAATCATGAGTGAAATTGAAGGCAAAGTTAGTACCTACTAATAAAACGATAATTTTGTTGACCGAAAAAATACGAAAAACTCAATAAATAAAATTATAAAGCACAGATGTCGCTGTCCCTGTAGTTGTTGCTGCTCCTTTGCAGAGGTTTACGTTCAATCACGTAACTGTGCCATGAAATGTCATGTGGTCGGGTGGGACCAGGCACCAAGTTGTAGGTATATCTGGCATGTAACGCGTACCGCCGTGTTGAGCTGGACGGGACCAGGCACGGGGTATATCCGACCGGTAACGCGTGGCGCGGGCGCGGCCGAGCGGAAGCCGTGTGCGTGAGCGACCGGGTGCCATCAGCCAATGCACGAAGCAGCCCGGCTTCGTTCTAGTTCTCAGCTAAGCTGGTCACTATGCACGCATGTGTCAAATAAGGACGGCTTGACCTGAGGTTCGTCCGATATGCATTTACAATTATTAAGTGTTAAAACGTAGCTGAGTGAAAGATTATTCAAAGTGACGCTGGTCATTTTCAGAGCTGACATTTTTAAGCAGAGTGGTCGATCGTTGTCAGACATGCTCTGAAACAGATTTCCATGGGCTAGGATTCGAGGAATATCTCGTCTCTATGGAAAAGTGCGTCATTATTTCGAGTGGGACATTGTGTCATTGGTGGCTCAGATACGTCGAAGTGCGGATGACCGAGGGCGAGGTGCACGCTTAAAAAGTTCCCACTGATAACTTCAGTTGAAAACCTATCCCATAACATTACGTACAGCTCTACTACGGTTTTAGGATGGTGGAGGTGAGGTACGATCCAAAAATGCACACTCATTTTACATAAAGCTGTCATGCGTAAATAGTGGAGCATAGCAATAAAACCGTCACTGACCCTGTGTTAATTCCCGCTTGCAATGCAATTGTGGCGTTTTCGCCCGATGTATTTAGGATGCCACGAGCGCTGGTCAGTGGTCACTAACCCTCACCGGATCTGTCGCTTTTCGACACACCCCAGGGCCGGGAGGTGGTGGTGCGACTCACTCCTCGTTTCGCTCCTAGTTGAGCGATAGCGAAACGGAAAAATGGCCATTAATGTTTCATAGTCATCGAGAGGTGCAGCACGAGAAATGCTTAGTTTTAAGGTCTTGGGTCCGCCTCTGACCTCAGAGGTCAGGTCATCAACCCAAAAGTCGAGCTGCAATTTTCGATACACATCACTAAAAGCGTCACTGTAGCCTGCAGGCAGCGACTTATCCAGGAAAAACAATTCTGAGTGTTGGTCCATCGTCAAAGTAAAGTCAAATAAGACCAGGTCAGGTCTTGGGAGGTCGTTTCATACATATCGTTTACTTTGAAAACTTATTCACAGCTCAATGGTGCGGTTTCAAACTTGGTACCTCAAGTTGATTAAGAATTATTCAACAACACCGCAAATGCACTAACATGAAAATGAGCATTTGGCAAACATATTTCATACTGCTCATCGGTCGCAAATTTGCTTGCAATGCGCAAGTCACCATTTCATTTGCTGGTAGGTATCCCTAGCCGACAACAAATGAAAAAAAGACGATGATGACCACAAAAGACCTCGATGACCTTATATATGACGTTGCGCTATGGGCATTTTATAGGTATTACTCGCGTTAAATGCAAGGATTTACTTTTGCGGAAAACTCTTCATTCAAATATTTCCATGATCAAAATGCCTATGCCAACGGGGAAGGGTACCTATGATTTGTTAATTGTTTACAACCAACATTCATTAACCCTCACGGTCCCGGGGAGGTGCGTTTTCGCCCCCCCCCCTGGCGAATATTTGCGATATATTCGCCTAAGCGCTCTCCCGAATGCTTAGGAGTAGTAAAGCAAAACCTTTAGCACCTTTTCTCCCATCAATTTGACATCTTCTGAAGAAAAAAAGGACCTAACCCTGTTGATTACGTCACATGGTCGATTTTTCTCGACCCCTGCACGGCAGATTTCGGCGTCACAGACGTGAACTTCAAATAGCTGCCAAAAATAGAGTTTTAGAGATAAAGACAAATTACGAGTACGGTTGTAGGTATAGCGTTTGACTTAGAGAAAAATACAAAAATAGTTTTTGTGACCTGTGGTCAGAGGTCAGGTCAACGGCCCCGAGCCTGGGGTTATAGTTTTTTGCAAACAACTTCAACAACAATGGCCCTGGAGCTACGGCAGTGGTACCAACGCTTCGCCTTGTAAAGTCACGTCGAATGATGTAAATTTGTTTGGAAAATATCAAATTTTATGTTGACCTCATGTGACCTCAAATGACCTTTGTTTGACCTTCACATATGAGAGGTCTTTTCTGATGGATTTGTAGCCGCTGATCACGAATCTGGCATCTATTTTCTTCTAATCGTTCATTTAGAGCCTCTGGATGACCAAAATTGTCTTAACTATCATTACCAACTTGAATCAGTGAAGTAGTCTCTAGCAAGGAGCAGCCTTGAAGCTCAGCCTTGTATCGTAAGATAACCATAAAACCACAAGTAGGGACTCAAAACATTTCAAAACATCTTGGAATGTAGTACGCAAGACGTTCGAAAAAGTGAAAAGTTAAACGTCAATTTAAGCATGACCTTGAACTTGACCTTTGATTTGGAGCACATTTTCGAAATCCTCCGATTCTCTTTTTTCGTTTGATATCCATTTTTACCCGGTTTCAGGCATCCTGCCCTCCTCTAGAACGCTTTCTTTGAGATCACTACACTTTTGCCGGTTTTTGCCTCTGACCTTGACCTCTGACCTTGAAAATCGATCTGTTAAAAATTTTAGGTGCTTTATAATCGGCCCGTAGATACCTTTCGCTTACCGCTTTTGTTTCCGTAGCTTCCTTATTTACGGAGTTAGACGGGGGGGGGGGGTGAAAAACGCCCCTCCCGCCTCCCGGGCTGCGGTGGTTGGGATTACCCCCCGGGCCCGGCCGGGTTGATGATTGTAATCAGCAAGTTACCATGCAAATCTGACCAAAGCTGCACGGATGGGAATTTAAATTGCAATCTAAGGGGATGCTAACCATTCCTGAGAGGACACGATACCAGCAGAAGCGGCTTCACCTTAACTAGCTCGGTTTAATGATCCGGCAGCGAATCCCTTACGACCGGGTAATTGGAAGCCACCACCTTCCCCTGCGGAGAGACATACCGAGCAGGATGGCCGTATCTCAGCCGGCACATCGGTCTGTCGACCGGCCGGCGGCACCAATGGCCCTCGGTGTCCGCCCGATGGAGCGGTCAGCGCGCGCCGGCGGCGCATCCTGCTCGGCGCCACCGCCACCCTCTCGCGCCGGTGACGTCAGGGTCGGACGGCGCGCCGCCGCCGCCGCCGCTGCCATGGGGCCGGGCGGAAACACTCCCCGTACCGCGCACCTCGACCGGCTATATAAGCGGTCCGGCCCGCCAGTACGGCTGTATGCCGGCGACGCAAGGTGCAACAGTGCAGGGCCAGGACGCGCATTGTCCAGATATTCCGACAGACTCGCACAGGAATCGGCGTCCGCTGATCAAACAGCACACAAACCGGTGAGATGACCCTGCTTCGGTAAGAAGGATGCCTACCTGCTGGAGCCCAATCCCGCGCCCCGCAGGAGGAAGGCGAAACGCCCCCTCTCCTTTCCTGTCGATATCTCCTAAAGTATAGGAGATATCGTCACAAGACTTTCAGGACCCCTCCAGGCATAAATTTTACACCCTGCCGCCAGAAATTTGTCAAAAGGCTATGCCAGGTTGGCCAAAAAAATGACGCAAGAATGACGTCATGTTCTACCATTTTCGACAAAAAAAGGTTTTGTGGGAGGAGTTGTCACGCCTACAGTTTTGAACATAGCGAAAAATGTCTACACAGAAAGTTGTAAAATTAACAGTGCTATAAAAGTGCTATCTCGGCTGTTTGAAAATTTTTGGGTTTGACCCCTCAAAATCGAAACCGTCTTTTTTGTTATAATACCCACAAAATGCCTTTTTTGAAAACGTAAAAAAACGATACATGTAGGTATAATAGAGAGCACATGCTATAATGTAATATGTTATACTATCCATCAACATACCAAATTTGATATCAATAGCTCCATTTTTGGCATTTACCTATACCAAAAAAGCTCAAAATTAAATGACGTCAAATTTCTAAGCTCATTTTTCAAAGCCGTTCTAGACCACGTAGCGTAAAACTAAGACCTGCATTGGATTCCCCGTGACGAGCTGCATCAAATCAATGTCCATTTTTATGCAACAATATCAAGTTTGAAATCTGACATTTTTACCTGACCTTGACCTGACCTGACCTCCACCAGAACGAAACCGTAACTGGCCCCAACGGCAACTTGACCCACATCATTGAACTTGAAATGTAAAATTGACCATAAAAACACGCATCGCATGACCCTAATATAGTTGGGCTCATATTGTAACCCTTAGTGCCCTAACCTGTGACCTTACTTGGTATCAGTGACCTAATTAAGCCAAATATGTATTAGAAAAACAATGTTCTATCGATGATTTTCGATAACATGCCTTTTACTCGGTGTTATAACATATTTCTTAGGCCTGTAAACAGTCCGAAATGCGGCCTTTGAGCTGATTTGTGACGTCATAAGTTGAACCTAGGTCGATGAAATTTGGCCACAGGATATTCCCATGGTAGGGCTATTTAACGCCGTTTGAATTTTGAAAATCGGCCGGTGACTTTCCGAGATCTTGGCGGGGGGGGGGGGGGGCGATTCAGCCCTCCCCTCCCCCCAACGGTGGCAGGGGCCGGCAATAGCCCTATGGGGCGTGGGTTAATCAAGGTGTTTGAAAGGATGATGCATAGGTAATGTATCTAAGAAGCGAACGTTGAGGCGTCTGACCCCGAACCAGCGTTACACGAATCGTCTCCTCGTGCTTTCATATATAAACCACAATGAAGCGTAGATGAAAGCTGAGTTACTTGGGATAATACAGCAGAATCGTAGATCCTTTCCTGCGTGGTGGGCCTCTTAACCAACTTCGGCGTGGTATTTGGTCACACCTGGTTATCTCGGAAAGTAAGAAAGCTAGGAAGACCCGACAAAAGCAATAAAGCGCTCGCTATACGATCTTTCAGTATTACTGCGATCATTCTTCGATCATTTCGATTTATAATAATGGCCTCTGAGGTCATTGTTTAGGTCAATGGAGGTCACCAAAGGCAAAATATCACAATTTTCCCGCGATTTTCAGAATTTTCACCAATCGGCCAACACTGGTGCCAACTCAATGCTGTTATACGCCTAAACTGACGCACCGGCTGTGAGTCATGATAACATTTCAGCCGCAGCGCCATTCGCTCTTAACTTGCTGGAGGGGAGGGGGGTGTAAGTAGGTGTTGTGTTGCCCCTACTTTTTCCGCATCACTATAGCTTTGTAGGAAATTGGTTGAAGCATCTATTTTGTAACAAAATTAACTAAATCGGTTATTTTTTAAATGTCGAGATTTTAGTGACGTCATGATTTCTGAGCTTTCCACCAAAAACGGCATACGTAAAAATCATATAAAATCACAGATTAGATACAAAAATGCGGTCACAGTCACATGCGGTCTTCTAATGCAGTGTAATATCAAATGGCCACAAACGAACAAGTGGCATGATAAAATGGACGACGCTATCGAGCTCAACGTCTAAAGCTACCCATAAAACTGCCAGCAGGCGGCAAATGCAATGCCAGCTTTGATTTTCGGGGTATGTTGCTGTCTGATTGACTTGACCTTAGCCCTGACCGACACTTAAATTTCAGGTGTTTGACCTGACCTTGACCCGACCTGTTACCCCGAATTTCACCTTTAGAGCACTCATCAGAAGCGTCTTGTTGCATTCTTTTGTTTGCCGCCTCTCCCATTTCGCTGTGCCCATTGATTCTCGAGTTATCGGCTGTGCCCTCCCCCGCCAGCCATTGGTGTGTGGTAAACTACCCTGCAGCACCTGCCGGGTTAAAGGGACTATCCCACCTTCTAAAATGTTGTTAAAACCAGTTAAATTGTGCCCGACTTTATAGATTGGATGACCAGGAACACGGTTCTGGCATTTATTTTTCATTAAACATCTTAGGCTTCCCATATTCCAAACACAAACCTTCAAATATGTGACATCACAGCCCAAAATTACCTCCTTCCCCAGGCCACATTACTGTCATAAAGCTGATTCTTTTTACTCTGTAGGCACCACAACAAAGTTTAGCCCAAGTTTTAAGCGATTTTTCAACGAACAAACCCATTCAAATCAGAATGACTAAACCAGGTGACGTCACACTAACAGTCGCTCCATGTTGAAGATAGGGCCTTGTAGTACAAGGCCCATTTTCAAATGAAGGGAACGAATTTCTTCAACACCAAGAGGCCGCGGGGGTTGCAACCTAGATAGATAGTGGTTTCTGAACCTCGCCGCAAACTTGGCTATCTCAACTCAAACCCCATGTTAAAGGTGGGATAGTCCCTTTAACTGGTGTGGCTGACCGGCACCGCTCCAGTGTCATCCTCAGAGACTGCAGCCATGTACCTGCTGCTGCTGCTGGTCACCGCCTGCACGGCGCTCCCCAACCACCACTACGACACGGCGGCGGGCAGCACACAGGCGGCCTTCATCAAACTGGTCACAGAGGGACCCCCAGACAGTGAGTGTATAAAACTGGTCACAGAGGGACCCCCAGACAGTGAGTGTATCCATAAAACTGGTCACAGAGGGACCCCCGACAGTGAGTGTATAAAACTGGTCACAGAGGGACCCCCAGACAGTGAGTGTATCCATAAAACTGGTCACAGAGGGATCCCCGACAGTGAGTGTATAAAACTGGTCACAGAGGGACCCCCAGACAGTGAGTGTATCCATAAAACTGGTCACAGAGGGACCCCGACAGTGAGTGCATCAAACTGGTCACAGAGGGACCCCCAGACAGTGAGTGTATCTATAAAACTGGTCACAGAGGGACCCCCCGACAGTGAGTGTATCAAACTGGTCACAGAGGGACCCCCAGACAGTGAGTGTATCAAACTGGTCACAGAGGAACCCCCAGACAGTGAGTGTATCTATAAAACTGGTCACAGAGGGACCCCCCGACAGTGAGAGTATCAAACTGGTCACAGAGGGACCCCAGACAGTGAGTATATACAACTCATGGTCACAGAGGGAACCCCCAGACAGTGAGTGTATCACACTGGTCACAGAGGGACCCCCAGACAGTGAGTGTATCAAACTGGTCACAGAGGGACCCCGTGTATCAAACTGGTCACAGAGGGACCCCCAGACAGCGAGTGTATCAAACTGGTCACAGAGGGACCCCAGACAGTGAGTGTATACAACTCATGGTCACAGAGGGAACCCCCAGACAGTGAGTGTATCAAACTGGTCACAGAGGGACCCCGTGTATCAAACTGGTCACAGAGGGACCCCGTGTATCAAACTGGTCACAGAGGGACCCCCAGACAGCGAGTGTATCAAACTGGTCACAGAGGGACCCCAGACAGACGACAGTGAGTATATCAAACAGAGGGGACCCCGCCGGTGAATGCACAGAACTAGGGACAGTGCCTTGTCTCATGTGAACATGCCGTGTCTCTGAGAGTAAGGATAGGTACCAAACTGGTGAACAAGTGGCCATCATAACGCCAGAATTGCAAGAGAATTGAAAGCAAGCTCTTTAACAAAGTATGGTTTCCCCTCGTCAAATTCTTACACGTAAGGTTAGTGTGAAAATTGAGCTCAATCTTGATGAAATCACAAAATAAAAAAACACGAAGCTACTTTTCTTAAAAGCTACCATCGTTGTCACAAACTAGTTTCACCTATTGCACCGTCGCTCATTACTTTAATAAGGACATCATGTGCTTTCTTTGCAGCATGCGTCAGCAATTCGTGCGCGGCCAAGCAGCGCTGTGAGGTTCGCCAGTGCCGCTGTGAAGTGTGTATTCCGAGTAAGTTCTCTACAGCATTAACCACTGTCGACAGAATGACAGTCGCATCTGCCTACCCATCAATCCCAAATGGTACCGTGCCAGGTCAATGTCTCTTCACTTACAGCAAACTTTGCTGAGTAGTGCTTTGTTCCCCACAGTCAGCGTTGAAAAACGCGTATCAGCGTTGAAAAATGTCAAGGGTCATGTGCAAAAATATTACATGAGTTCACCCTTATAACACTGCGTTTTCACAGTTTTTTCTTCAAAGGCATATTATGTCCTATGAACATCTTAACGATCGTTACTACCTTTTTTAGACCAATACCTCGTTTCTCGGCTGTTGGTAGAACTTATGCAAGTAAAACCAACTGCGTAACTCACGGCACAAGACAGCCTCCTTGACTCGTGACACTCCCGTGTTGCAGAGACCTGCGCCGACATCACGTGCGGCCCCAATGAGGTGTGTGAAGACACACCGGACGGGCCCATCTGCAGGCCAAGTAAGAATTTGACCTCCCTCAGTAACACCGTGTCATTCATGATGGAAGACATTTTAATAGTTAAAATTTATCGTAATTGATAGGTAGGTACCTATTTAATAGAAAATGAATGAACATTTTTAGTCGATTTCGTACCCCTTCCTTTCACTCATAGGTTGATCTCTGTGCCAACATTTTAAAAATCCAAAAAAGTTTGCTTCTGGTGGATTTTATTTACGGTAAGTACTCATTGAATCTTATTTTATGAATCTATTCGTGTTATTCAGAAACTTCATCAAACACAAATGTCAACCGTAAAGGTAAAACCTTAAGTCGCATGATCCTTATGAAAGCAATTGACAATCAATATGTCGGTCCGGTCCGGTAAAAAATGTTATCAGCAATAAACAAATGTCACATGTTATGAACAAAGATGCCAAAGCCGGTGAGCTAAAATAGCATCCAAAACGGTCGAGAGCTCTGAACAGTTATTCTTCGACAAAAAGTTAGACGAAATCTCTGACAAACGATTCAATCAGAGGTCATAAAACGGTACCTTGACATACTGAAAGGCCACGTTCAGAAAGCAAACACATATCAGCTCATTTACTGCGATGACAACGCAGCGCACCAGCGCGATAATATGAGCACAACGCACGTTTTCTCTGCCGCAGAGACGTGCAAGGAGATAATGTGTGCGCCCAACGAGCTCTGTGACGATACACCGCAGGGAGGAAAATGTCGGCCCAGTAAGTTGCATTACATTCGTTCCTTGCAGCCTTTTGTAACATATCGTTGATATCCAATGCTTCCATACTTGAACTTGCAATGGTTGAGTAAGGTCACGACCACGAAGCGACGAAGGCGACGGTTTTAACTGTAGGATAACATGCATCTTTTGAAAAGTCTAATGTTTTGCCTTCACTGATATACATCTATGAAAACTAAAGCGCAGTCCACCCCGGTGCGAACACTGAACGAGTCAGGACTCATTTTATGATTCATTTGCATCGCCACATATTGCTTTAAAGGGACCCTCCCACCTTCAAAAAAGTTAATGAATTGACATGAAAGTGATGTCGCTCGGTTCAGAAAGAGCAAAAACGAATATCTACCAAATTTCATCGAAAAATATTCACCGGTTTTCAAGATATTAGACTTTTACTTTTGTTTACTTTTTGGGATCTCCGCTGTTCCTAGCGACTTTATTTGAAAGTGCGGCATTTGTTGCGCGCAAAGCAGCATATACCACCGCGTGCTACAAAACGTTTTAGTCAAACATTTAACGGACGTTCGAAAGCCTGATGACGTCATCAGACTCCCGTAATGGTTAAGAGATAGGGACCACGCTGGTCCCACCCTGCAAGTAAAGGGAAGAAATTTCTTGAACACCATAAAGCTGCGGGGGTTGCGACCAGGATAAATGGTGGTTTCTGAGCCTGGCCGCAAACTTGGCTATCTCAACTCAAAACTAATGTTAAGGTGGGAGGGTCCCTTTAACGTCGTGCTAATTTAAAGCCGCCCGACGTAAGCACATCGGCATTGCCTGGGCTGAAACTGAAGGCCGGACACGTGTTTGTTTTAGAGACATGCGAAGACATCACTTGTTTGCCAAAGGAGGTCTGTGAACTCAACTACGGACAGCCGGAATGCAGACCGAGTAAGTTACCTGCCGTTTACTCTTTGAAGACGGCATGCTATCTAACTAATTAGGTATATGGGCTTTCATGCATCAAAATAAATTGAGTCATACAGTCGTCAGTCACCTTTAATCTTTTGCGACAAAATTTACGCTTGACATTTCTAGACCCAGAAAATCTAGGGTTGTTTATCTTTACCCTATATGACATTACCAATAAAAGTAGATTTAAGTCGAGGGAAAAGCCATTTCGGTAGATATATGTCGCTGAGCGCCGAGCATGCTATTCTCGACATCTGCACTCTGCAGTGTCATCTCAAGCGAATACCGTGTGAAACAAATCATTCATTTGAAAGGATTGCGCAAACAAGTATAAAAACGTCTAGCACTTTTGGAAGGGTTCGCTTATTTAGCACTGTTCAACGAGCATTTTCAATAAATTTGCAAAGACGACCTTGCATTAAATTGAATCTGAACTTCAATTGCAAAGAGTCAAACAAATGAACAAAGTCAACAGAGGTGAAGAACTATCGACCGTGTCCGCCTCCAATCGAGTTCCGCTCGGACCGGTGGCAAAACGTGGTACTGATTTCAGCAGGTTCCCTCACAGAGTGAGAGCGAGAGGTCCTCGTATGCTTAGACACGCGACGACGACTTCAGACGATAATTAGACGCACACAATAATATAAGTTGAAGCTGCAGCTTGCAAGAGTTACTTACCTATTCATTTACACAGCTGGTGACATCATGGAGGAGAAGTAGGTATGCGTTTGGCCAAGCCCTAGTGCCACATATGTAGAAACCTCTTATTCAGCGTATCCCAGTGTAGCAGATTAGCATCTATTACACGGTATAAGAACAGCTGAGCCGCCAGATTACTTAGCGTTTAGCAGTGAGAAGCTGGCGAAACCAGCTCACGCATATTCCTGGAAATCGCCTGCGGATAGATTCCATTGTCCAAGGTCGGATCACATTCCAAGTCAACGACCCAACGCGGTGGGGTTATTAAAGGGACTATCCCACCTTCTAAAATGTTGTTAAAACCAGTTAAATTGTGCCCGACTTTATAGATTGGATGACCAGGAACACGGTTCTGGCATTTATTTTCCATTAAACATCTTAGGCTTCCTATATTCCAAACACAAACTTTCAAATATGTGACGTCACAGCCCAAAATTACCTCCTTCCCCAGGCCACATTACTGTCTTAAAGCTGATTCTTTTTACTCTGTAGGCACCACAACAAAGTTCAGACCAAGTTTTAAGCGATTTTTCAACGAACAAACCCATTTAAATCAGAATGACTAAACGAGGTGACGTCACACTAACGGTCGCTCCATGTTGAAGATAGGGCCTTGTACAAGGCCCATTTTCAAATGAAGGGAACGAATTTCTTCAACACCAAGAGGCCGTGGGGGTTGCAACCTAGATAGATAGTGGTTTCTGAACCTCGCCTCAAACTTGGCTATCTCAACTCAAACCCCATGTTAAAGGTGGGATAGTCCCTTTAAAGGGAAGATTAAAGACATTCCTCACTAAGGACCGGATGACCGCAACCGTGCAGTGACGTTATTTTGAAGCACACCGTTCCCCATACTCGACTCTCTGGCAAATGCACCACGCCTCACCATTGCGCTTCTAAAAGAGACGATGTGTCTGGTAACGCCAGCTGTTGGATGCACATTACCTACAGTTTACAGTCAAAACAAATCCGAGGAAGACAGCGGCAAAACAGATATACATAATAAGACAAGTACAAGGCAAGCAGAAAAAAAAATGAAAAGACTAATAATAATTCAGTATACGATATACGTGCACCTAGCATTGACAGTTATAAATGAAATGGTAGGTGATAGGTATTCAGACATGGAGAGCTGAATGGGCGTATATGGGTTTGAGCCAGGTCACACCGCATAACAGCGTTATCGGGTTCATGGGGGTCAGCGAAATTGTATTATTGTTACAGTTTAAGAGGCAAAACAAAATGTTAAGAAAACATTGAGTTGAAGACTCATATAAAATCTCATTAATTTACACTTTCATGCACTATACAGTTGTTCTCAGGCACATTTTACCCGACCTTACCCTATTCACTAGACCTTGTCCTCGAGCTTTGACTTCCGCTGTTATGGCGACACAAGTCTGACACGTGTTGCCTTCTGTGTTCCAGAGACGTGCAAGGAGATAGTGTGTGCGCCCAACGAGCTCTGTGACGATACACCGCAGGGAGGCAGATGCCGGCCCAGTAAGTCGCCACTTCTGTTGACTGTTCTGGTACACTTAATCTGCTTCTGTTTGGCACTGCACACATCAGTGCAGCGATGTCTCGCGTTGCTGTGGATGGCTGTGAGATTCACAGGGCTCACTCAGACAGTGGTCTGACGCGAGTTCAGTGGGCTGAGGCTAGATTGTTCCGCTCCGCCCGCAACTGTGTGCTGTCCCACTCAACCTGTGGGTGTTGTCCCACTTACACTGTGAGGCGGGCACTGCCACACTCACACTGTGGGCACTGTCCCACTGACACTGTGGGCATTGTCCCACTGATATTGTGGGGCGGGCACTGCCACACTCACACTGTGGGCACTGTCCCACTAACACTGTGGGTGTTGTCCCACTGACACTGTGGGCCTGTCCCACTCGCACTGTAGGTGTTTCACCACTCACAGCGAGTTGTCGGCCAATTCAGAGACGTTTTCCGCCTCTCACTGTGTGCTGTCGGTCATTTCAGAGACATGTGACGACATCACCTGCCTGCCCAATGAAGTATGCGACGAGAGCTACGGAGAGCCGAAATGCAGACCAAGTAAGCTAGCAATTTCAGATGATAAACTAGGGTGCCCCGCTGACCACCGCAACTCACGTGAGGGTGTATTTTTGACACGTGGTTGTTAGTTTCGTGTCGACTGAATAACTGTTCGGCGAGATATGGAGATGAGACACTTCACTCGAGATGTTCTGATAGAGGATCACAGAGATCATAAGATTTGATGGAAATTTGGTAGAAATGAAAAGTAAACCTACTATAAAATTGAAGGACTGGAATGCTCTCTTAGCCGAAAACTTCAAACAACTAAGGCCAGAGGCCTAACACGCCACCGATAAACAGGACCCCGCAGTGTACAGATAGGGCGTTCCTGTAGCAAACAGTGCACCGTTGATAAATGCGATCGCTTTGTAAGCTGCATAACGCACCAATAGGACGACCTGGTACGACCAGTCATTCCTCTGGGAAACCGGAGTATCGGACATAACGGCCGAGCAGTGTTGTGACCTCTGTCATGTTTCAGAGACGTGCAAGGAGCTGGTCTGCAAGCCCTACGAGCTCTGTGACGACACTCCGGACGGAGGCAGATGCCGACCCAGTAAGTCGGCGAAACGTGACAGGGTTGCGACCTTCTTGTTACCATCTGTGCTTTCAATTTCAACAAGCAGGCCTAATGAAATGGAGATAAGTATTTTTTTTAGCGTTCGACCAAATGGAGCAGTGGGAGGCCCGTGTGCTGCGCTAAGTAACGCTGGACATCCGCCTGCGCGAGTAGCCACGCGTGATATCTGATGAAAAAGTAGCCAACTCCATCACTGCGTGCTGAAAATTCACTGAGCAATCCGATCGAATGCCGAGGCACAGTTTCATTCTACTTTTGTCTTGGCATAACAAGTGAGTGGTTTGCGTTGAACCAAAACATACAAAGTGCGTTGCTCACACGCTGTCGTGTTTCAGAGACTTGTGAAGACATTGAGTGTGCGCCGTACGAGAAGTGCGAGATCCTCGACGGCCAGCCCCGCTGCAGACCCGGTAAGCTACGAACGCCGGCTGGCGTGAGACATGGGATGCTTGTCAAAAAGTTACAGCACGACCCTGGGGCCTGGGGCGCTGGTGCATCGTCACGTGATCAGCTGTAAGGGACGCTGTTGAGTGCTGACTTACAGTGGCGCACTGGTGCGTGACCACGTGATAAGCTGTAAGGGACGCTGTTGAGTGCTGAGCTACAGTGTCGCACTGGTGCGTGATCACGTGATGAGCTGTAGGGGATTGTGTGACTTACAGTGGCGTGTTTCAGTGACCTGCGTGGACATCCGGTGTGCGGCTGGGGAGAGGTGTGATGACCTGCCCGACGGGCCCGACTGCGTGCCAGGTGAGCGGCGCTCTGTGAGCAGCCGGCACGTTCGGGCCTCGGCCATTGTAATGAAATGTCCTGCTTTGAAGAACACACTTAGCTTTGGCATCCTAGTCTCCCGTTACCCGAAAATGCGCGATCGGACGGTAGGGGTCAGGACTCTGCTTTGCATGGTCTACGGTTCGTCAATCCATCTATTCAAACATTCGAGCCAACGTTTTCAAATAAGCTTGTTACAACGCATTCCCACTTACGAGCCGTGCTCCCTATGTGCTAGGAATACCATCTGATGCAATGGCAATATATACCATCTAACTCAGAGAACCATCACACTGGCATGAATTTCTATGCACCAATACCGTCACAACGCATCAACGCGTGACTGTGACCGTTTCTCTCCGACACACAGACGTGCCGACGTGCGAGGGCTTCTTCTGCCGTCGCGGCACCAACTGCTACATTCGCCAGGGCTCGCCCATCTGTCTGCCCAACACGTGCGAGGTGCGCGAGTGTGAGCCGGGACTCAACTGTATCGACACGCCCGACGGAGCGCTCTGCCGAAAGGGGGAACGTGAGTACACCACTCGGAGGGTGGCGGCCAACAGGAGAGGCTAGCCACAGCCGTATCTCTTCAAACAATGAATGCTTATTGATGACTTCATCGAAAAATAAAACTCACCATAAATGGGTTAAACATACAATTCGAAGAGGCCTCACTTCCTGAAATCTTCAAAGTCAAAGAACCAAGGCAAACAGTCAGAGGTTGCTATGCTCAGTCCAGCTTAGTCTTTTATTTAGATCCTTCACTTTGTATAACCTTCACGAGTCTGTATAAAAAATACCACAGGGAAGTGTGGCAGCGAGCGTGCCGACCGGTCTAACGGCTCTCCTCCTCCACAGTGCGCGGCACCTGCACGGGCAAGTACTGTCCGCCCAACACGGTCTGTGAGCTGACCACCGAGGGCCCGACCTGCGCGCACATCTGAGGGGCGACCCGGGCCGACCTGCGCGCACATCTGAGGGGCGACTCGGGCCGACCTGCGCGCACATCTGGGGGTCCGGGAACCGACCTCACCGCGTGCCGCCGCAGCCCGGCAGCGCGCTTCCTTGTACTTTCGTGCTCAACTCAAAACCGACTGTTTTTACATGTACAAAACGCAGAAGCACAGGAGGTCAAGGTTAAAAAGGACCATTTCGAGACGGTTCCAATATTTCTAACCCGTGGAATGGGTATCTCAGCAGTTTCGCTAGCTTGCTTGACCTCGGCCCCTGTGTACATATTTGACCTTTTGCATGTGCGACCGACTAACGCGTTGGAACAAAGTACGTTTGACGAAATGACATATTTATACAAATAGGACGTATGCAAGCAATTCGATGTCAGAGCAATGCTTATGAAATATCGCAATAAAGCCATTGACGAACAGAGAAACCGAGCATTTTTGAAAACGGCTGTGTAAATAAATCCATCATAATGAGTTTGCCGGGTAATGGATTCTCACATCGATGCTTTATCGGTTTTGCGTTATATCTAACTTACGGTTCCTTTCTCGAAGCGTAAATTTGCTTTTGTGCGAATTTTTGAAGGGAGAAACAACCCTAACCACACCGATAAATACACCGCACATCGGGCACAACGCAAAGTGCGCGTTTCGCGTCATACCTCAAAAGGAAACTAAGGAAAATTAGAATGTGAATGAACACGTTAACATTCAAAAGCGATAAATGCCCAACAGTTAATACAACCTCACATGCTGGGACCTTTCTACCCCAAAATACCAGTTAACGACTGAGTAAGAAATCGTACGTCATGACCTTCACTGACACAGTTAACACTGCCAGCGACTGTTGGAATTTGTCATCGCTAACGTCTGGGCCCCGGTTATACGACATTGTTCTGCATATATCATTCCTGAGAGCCGAGACTCCGTTAAGAACGATCACTCAGGAAAAATAAAGCAAAAATAAGAAAGGAGGCAAACTAGAAAATAAGCAAAACAACATGAAGAAAATTTGCAAAAATGAGAAAATAAGCAAATAAGAATAAGAATATCAGATAGGATACGCACTTCAATAGGTTCATGTGATATTCACCTATGATGCTGAGCCCTATCACGCGATAAATAATGTTGATTGTTAAATGTAAATCACATTTAAGAATCAAGGGGAGGAAAAGATAAAGATACAAAAACGCCAATTTATTTTCATTTACATAAGGAAGCACAATGCCCGCATAAAAAGGGGCACCTGAGTACGTTTTCAACAAGGGGCAAAACATCGACCGGAGGCCGAAATATGCTCATCAAATCACTGAGATTGCACACGTAATGGCAGTCGAGTTTCCCGGTGCTCACCGGCAGCACCATCAGAGCACCACCTGACTGACACCCATCACAGTGCTAGGCGGCAGAGAAAAAGTCGGACAGCACCTGCTCAAAGCTGTCGGCCGAGTAGTCGACCACCTGTATGTCCTTGGAGGGCGGCAGGCCGCGGATCATTGCCGAGAGACCTGCGGGCGGGGGGCGGGCCGTCACCGCCGGCCGTCACCGTCCAGGGCTGGACAGGGGGGACGAGGGACGGGCCGTCACCGCCGGCCGTCCAGGGCTGGACACGCTCAGCGAAACGAACGGTAAACCCGACACAGGCGCCGGCCGCGGCAAACGGGCGAACGCCGGGCTCGCCGGGGCACCCCGCATTCCGACGGGACTTACACAGGGATTACAGAGGTGTATCACATTTTTGGTGACAAGTTTATCTAACATCGTTATCTAACAGATCGTTAGTCACCTGAGCGTGTGCTCCATTGGTTTAGGAGACATCTAAGGCGGATAAAGAGGTTGGAAAGAACGTGGTGCCCCAAATGCGCCGATACCTCATCCCACAATAGCCCAGAGGCGGAGCATAACCAAGGACAAGATGACAAAAAAGAGCACCTGAACAAAATAACTCGCCCTTCGGCTCACTGAAAAAAACTATATTACTGCCGTGCCCGTACTGCGGTTGATAGGCCAAGCGGCATAATTCCATAATGCACTACACAACTCTTTTGCTTGGTCCCAAAGTCGACACTGCTTATGATGTGCAACACTCATTGAAGGTGGGGGTGGGGGGATGGGGTGCGGTGCGCATAGCGAACCTTCAGTCAATTTAGTAAAGCAATGAGTTGGAATGACCATTGGACATGATCCAATTAGACATAAGTCAAGACCTTACCAACATAACATAACGTGCATAAACCGACAGACATAAGCCAAGACAAAATAGTGACTCCGCTCGGGCGAGACGGCAGCGCTGCATCGCGGCGGTCGGGCGGTCGGGCGACTCACGTTTGTCCGGCTGAGGCCGGTACAGGCAGAGTACGCGCCGGCCGCCCATGGCGATCCCGCGGCCGATCTCGTACCCGACTCCGAGCGAGGGCTGCGTCACCTCGGCCACGATCGTGTCACACTCCTCCAGCAGCCTGCCGCCAGCGGCCGGCATCGGGTCAGTGGGACAGCGGGGCACACCACACGACAGGACTACGGGTCAGACAGCTGAGCAGGGTCACACAGTGGGACCACGGGTCACACCGCACACGGTAGGTCACGAGTCACACGGCAGGGTCACGGGTCACACGGCAGGGTCACGGGTCACAGCAGCCTGCCGAGAGGCCGGTCACGGGTCAGCGGAGCCACAAGAAGCTCAGTACCTTATAAAACCTGTTAAACTGAGAAGGAAACTCCAAACCTTGTGGGTCACAATCAGCTCACCCCAAATCAGCGCTACCATCAGTTCTCCCCTCGCACTCTCTCGTTTCAATATCAGCTGCCTTTCACACCCTCCCGACGTTCGTCCGTGCTATCTAATCCGTGCGATCTGATCGCATTTCAATTCAGACTCACAAGTCACACCACCATTGTTGTGTGCCACTCCTCCGTTGGGTACCAGTTCGCTGTTATCTCTCCCTCCCTCCCCCCCCCGTCCCCCATCTCACCGGACGTCCCTGTCGTGGATCTCGCGGTCTGTGGTGGCCGTGCCCTCGTTACTGCCCATGTCCGTGACTTTGGGGTCTGCGACAAACTCTGTGAGCACGGTGCCGTAGCGGCGCAGCGCGGCCACCAGCCGGCCGTACAGATCCACGTCCTGACGGCCGCCGCGGATCGAGCCGCAAAAGTAGATCTGGCGAGACATCCTGCAAACAGAATCCATGGAAGAAAACGACATCTACTGGAGAAGTGTAATTTGTTATGCATCTTTATGTTTTAAATATGTAATAAGGTGTACATAAGATGATCCTACCCAAGTGGGAAGGCAGATCCATTTTTATGCACCTAACAAAAATAGATAAAATGTTTGAAGTAGGCCCCAATCCCTAATGCTCCATGAGGCAATACCTGGCAACAGGACAAATTGATGCAAAATATATAATTTCCATCAAAGCCTGTCCCACTAAACTGACTTCAGCTGGCTGCAGCTGCTCCCACCAAATGCAGACCATTCTCCACCTCAAGAGTACTCAGGAGTCTTGTATTAGATGACCAACTGGAGCAGCCCAAACTAGGGCTCTCAGTTCCCACCATTAACAGCCCAGCCCAACCCTCCTCCAAATGAGCTACAAGACAACATGTACTATTGCTTCAGCTTCTATTGAAACTGAAGCAGTCTGCAGTAGGTAGTGGTAGCACCTGGTAGTACTTATCAGCAGATACCTAGCAGCATGCCATTAGTACCAGTTTATCAAGTTTATTGGCATGGCTCTATGGTAATTTCCCAATAAGGTACCACCCTTGAGCTGCTTAGGACCTGCCAGCAGCACAGGCTGCACAGGCTGACCAACTATGGGCCTGTTCCAGCGCCTCCAGAAGCCTCCAGAAAGCTCTAGAATTCTCCAGAGCGTTCCAGCGCCTCCAGAAAGCTCCAGAAAGCTCTCCCCAAAGATCCAGAAACCTCCAGTAGCCTCCAGAGAGTTGAGAGGTCCACATTTCTCTGGAGGCTCTGGTCTACAGTTATGGCGCACATGTGACAATTACGAATGTAAACAAAGGGCTTTTGACTGTTAATTTTACCAACTGGGGCATTCCACGATAGATCGACCAAAAATAAATAAAATTTACACCCTCATATTTTATTTTTTGCTTAAAATTGGTCCAATGGGTTGTGATGGGCGGGGAACCCAGCTGTGGCAAGGTTTTTTTTCTTCGAACAACGGTTTCCGAGATATAGCCTCGGGCAGTTCCAGGAGGTCACACTGCAACCCTATGTTTGGCGGCTTATAACTCAGAAACTATTGGTTTTCTATGGTAAAAACTTTATATGGTTCAACTTGCAATCAACCAACAAACGTTTTGGCTATCTCGGATTTTCGATTTTTGAAAATTTTGATCACGTGACATCTTGACCTATTTTTCGAAGAGTGACCTTGATAATTTCCCAACTGAAAGTCGCAATTATGTCTGATAACGATTAAAGCCTTATCAATTGTCATTCATATGCGCAAATAAAAAAGTGGCTTTCGGCCTGCGTTGACCTCAGGTCAGGTCATTTTTATGACCTTCCCATTATTACGAGCGGGAGCGACAGCGAGATCTCGAGAACAAAGCAAGATAGCGACAAGTGGTAAACGGCACAAAGTACACATGGATAAGGTCTACAATTTTTACCCAGGTCATTTTCAGGTCAGGTCAAAGATGACGTCACAAGGGTAAAAAGAAAGTCTAAATGGCGGCACTACATATATATGAAGTTTTTCTCTAATAACTTTCAAAGTATCCCAGCTAGGAACAAACTAATAGCACCATCGTGATCCTCTCGTCGATCCGCATCGAAACATGTGTATGTTGACCTCAAAAGGTCAAGGTCAAAAGTTGACCTTAGGTCACGTGACCTTAAGGTCATCATATATATCATTCGATGGGCCTTGACGAGCTGAACACAATGAGCCTATCCGCGCGGCTGTATCTCAAACCTGTAAGGAATTATGTGCAAAAAACATTTGGTGACCTTTAATGACGTCACATGACCCAAGAGCAACGTCACAGTTGACCAAGAGCAAAAAAGGTCTCAAGGTAGTCAAAGTTAGTCGTATATGAAGTCACTCATGGTATATTAGGCAATTCCGACGCGTTTTAGTGTAAAAATAAGGGAGCTGATTTTTCCCCAATTGACTTATAATGGGATGGTCAAGAAATTGACCTGATTTAGGTCATCGGTATTGAAATTCAAAACGAACTGGCGCTAGGCGAAAGCAAACACAGTGGTGCCTGTTCCACGTCTCTTTCTTTATTAGATCAAAAGGTACAGCCAAAACTATTTTGACTTCCTTTTTACCCCTGTGACGTCATCTTTGACCTGACCTGAAAATGACCTCCGTAAAAATTGTAGATCTTATCCGTGTGAATCCTGTACCGTTTACCGCTTGTCGCTATCTTGCTTTATTCTCGAGATCTCGCGTCGCTCCCGCTCGTAATAATGGACAGGTCATAAAAATGACCTGACCTGAGGTCAACGCAGGGCGATAGCCACTTTTTTTATTTGCGCATATGAATGACAATTGATAAGGCTTTAATCGTCATCAGACATAATTGCGACTTTCAGGTGGGAAAATATCAAGGTCACTCTTCAAAAAAAAGGTCAAGATGTCACGTGATCAAAATTTTCAAAAATCGAAAATCCGAGATAGCCAAAACGTTCGTTGGTTGATTGCGAGTTAAACCATATCAAGTTTTTACCATCGAAAACCAATAGTTTCTGAGTTATAAGCCGCCAAACATAGGGTTGCAGCGTGACCTCCAGGAATTGCCTGAGGCTATATCTCGGAAACCGTTGTTCGAAGAAAAAAATCCTTGGCACAGCTGGCTTCCCCGCCCATCACAACCCATTAGACCAATTTTAAGCAAAAAATAAAATATGAGGGTGTACGGCTTTGGTCGATCTATCGTGGAATGCCCCAACTGAATGTAAAGAAAATTACATTATTATAATTTTGTAAATCTTTCTTACTAAAATTAAAAACAAATTTTGTTTTTCAAGAGTGAACCATCTTCATCCTTTTGGTATTTGTGACACCAATCTCCAGAAATCTCCAGATTGCATTCCAGAGACTCCAGTTAAACTTCTGGTAGAGCCTCCAGTCAACAATTTCTACTGGAGGCACTGGAACAGACCTAAGCTCTGCCAGCTTTTGATCCCAGGCAACCCAAGGAGTCTTCTGCTGCACACTAGGCCAGAGGCCTGCACCAGTGTACCGTTATCTGTGGATGCATGGGCATGCACCAGGAAGGTCCCATTTCGCTGCCAACTTTGAGCAAAGGCCTGGCTAGCAATGTACTAAGTGGGATGCGGGTGGGTTGAGAAATATCTAAAAAAAACTACTAGCAAACATAAAGAAGAAGCAAACTTTCAAGATCTCAAAAGGTCTCAACAGATAGATTACCCACTACCCAGGACCCAGATCCGTGAGCTGAGGTCAACTCGCTTCATCAAGCAATTACCTAGTGGTTGCCACCTTGAGTGCTACAGCATCACGGACATGGTGATGATACATCTGATTTGTGGTAATAAAATTGAAACATATTTCATTCAGACCCCAAGGGATCACCCCAATCTTTCACATAGCTGGCTGTCATTATATTTTGATTTAGAAAATATACTGATAAAAAATATGACATGAAATAATTGGTAGAGGCAAAATGGATGCTGATGCCATGGGTCCCGTATACAGCAAGCCTTTCGCTTTGAGACACAAATTGAAATCATGCGTCTACACAGATAAAGTCAGTATATGTCACCCAGGTGAATATTGCATTAGTCAATAACTGCTAAAAATACTCACTGCACACAAATAATGGAACTGGGAAATCCCCCCTCCCTCCCTTGCCCTCTCCTCCAAACACGTGGCGCGCTGGCGCCCAGTGTAGGTGGCGCCACGGTATATGGATGGTGGCACCAAAACCACTGCAAATCGGCTCTGCAAATCACTGCAAATCGACCTGATTCGACGCCCGACCCGCTCGACATTGCCTCGACACGCGCAGGGCGCTGAGCCGAGACTGAAGATTCATTGGAGCTCTTGTATGTGCATTCATGCAAAATATTAGCAACTTAATAACAATAATGACAACATCATTCCCGAAAATACTCTTGTTTTGACCCCTTTGTGACGTCACAACCTTTGTTACAATGGCCGTTTCTGGACCATTGACCAGCCCATCAGCTGTTAGAAATTAGAATCTTGGACCAGTCCAAGATTCTTCAGGATACTTTAAGATTCAGGACCAGCCCACAGACCAACTGTTGATAAAGGACGATGCCAGGGCTGTATAGGGACGATGTATCCCCGAACTGCTGATTTTCCGAACACCCTGCCAGAATAAGATTAAAATAGCTTCTAAATAGGTATGACCATCGCACAGGCAGTGAGGCACTCGCCACTAAGAACCATAAAACTTGTCAAACCCAGAATTACTCGCTAGCATGTTTCATTTTTGTACTCCACACAGCTGAGGGGTCATCAATCGGAGATTTCGATCCGCCATTCATGCCAACGAATCTTGTTTTACCAATCCGAGGCACTACTACAAGTCCTTGCCAGCGAAGAAATCTAACGTGTTAGAAAGGCATTCAAAGTCGTATTTATTGACCGTATTTCGCGTTTCCATCTCTCGTCCAAAAACGATCACGAATCTCTGAAAGTCGACGCTCGTTTCGCGAGTAAAATTAACAACATACATAATAAATACCTATATTATTGTCAATAACGCTAGACAGGTCGGCATATATACACGGTCTAATACACGTAATGCGGCCGGCGCCCGCCGTGTGCGCCACATCAGCGGACCAGCGGCGGAGCGGCAGCGGCAGAGCGGCAGAGCGGCAGCGACAGCGGAGGCCGCCAGCGGGGAGCGCCCTCGCCCCAGCCCGCGCCGGCCGAGCGGCCCACGCGCACACACACCGCTCATTCACCTATCCAGGATTGTACAAGCGACTAACCGAGCCAGCCGGGCGCGGCATATTGCGGGGGAGGGAGACGGAGACGGAGACGGAGACGGAGACGCGCGCGGCCGCCTCTAGCTCTCGTAGCTGGACGAGCCCCGGTCCCGAGCCGGGCTCGGCGGTGAGCTCAGGTTACTCGAGTTGTTGGACGCGATGCTGTGCCGCGGGCTGTCGTCCAGACCCTCCTGCCGGCAACGGCGCGCCCGTCACCCAGTGACACAGCAGTTATACAGTGACACAGCCTGACAGCAGTTATACAGTAACAGTCTGACACACTGGTTATACGGTGACACAGTCTGACACACTGGTTATACGGTGACACAGTCTGACACAGCAGTTATACGGTGACACAGCCTGACAGCAGTTATACAGTAACAGTCTGACACAGCAGTTATACGGTGACACAGTCTGACACACTGACTATACAGTGACACAGTCTGACACACTGGTTATAGTGACACAGTCTGACACAGCAGTTATACGGTGACACAGTCTGATACAACAGTTAGGTATACAGTGACACAGTCTGACACAGCAGTTATACAGTGACAGCAGTTATACGGTGACACAGTCTGACATACTGGTTATACAGTAACAGTCTGACACAGCAGTTATACGGTAACAGTCTGACACAGCAGTTTTACGGTGAAACAGTCTGACACAGCAGCAGTTATGCGGTGACACAGTCTGACAGCAGTTATACGGTAACAGTCAGACACACTGGTTAATGGTTATACGGTGACACAGTCTGACATACTGGTTATGTTATACGGTGACACAGTCTGACATACTGGTTATGTTATACGGTGAACCAGTCTGACATACCGGTTATGTCATACTGTGACACAGTCTGACATACTGGTTATGTTATACGGTGACACAGTCTGACATACCGGTTATGTCATACGGTGACACAGTCTGACATACTGGTTGTTATACGGTGACAGACTAACATACTGGCTATGTTATACGGTGACACAGTCTGACATACTGGTTATGTTATACGGTGACACAGTCTGACATACTGGTTATGTTATACGGTGACACACCCGTTATTCGGTTACACATTCGTGATACGGTGATACACTGACTCACACCCGTTAGTGGCAAACCAGTTATATGTACGGTAACAGACCTGTTGTTACGGAGGCAAAATCGTTATATAGCGACACATCTGTTACACGGTGACACACAGTGTGGCCAAATTGGTTTAGCGTTTGGGGGAGGATGTATAAAAAAGTCGTACGAGGATGTCACTAATTTGAAAAAAAAACTCGTCTTCAGTGTCATTTTAGGTGCAGTTTTTACAAGTTATGTGGAAAAACTATACCTGACGTCAAGCTCTGGTGGAAAGTAAAAAAAAATCAAATATTGTCATCAAAGATGTAAAAAAAACAACATTGCAACAGTACGAGTATGACGATGCGAATCGTACATTGGAACATTTTTAGTCTTTATTCCTACACTAGGTATGCTTTCACAACAAAAAAGTTGTGATGATGTAATTTTGAAATTTCTGAGGATGTCATACTTTTCATTGGGGGTGACTTTCCCCGCAACATCACCAATTTGGCCACACTGGTGACACATCCGTAATTATACGGTAACACAGCCTGACAAGCTGGTTCAATAGTGACAGTAGCACATCAGTTATACGGTGGCACATTGGCACCTATACGGTGACACATCCCTTAAAAGGTGAAACACGCCTTATACGGTGACACAGTGTCACACACGGCGACAGTACACCAGTTACACGGTGACACACCCGCTATACGGTTACACACCCTTACGGTGACAAAATGACACAGCCGTTACACGGCGACAATGACATGTCGTTGTCGTTCATATGTCGTTGCTTATTGGCTACATCGTAAAAATTCTCCTCCTAGCAAACCGAAATCCCTTTGAATATGAAAAAAAAACAGGAAATTGTAACTTATCCATAACAATTTCACCCGCCATTCCACACAACGGACTAGTACGGGTGTTGGGTATGCCGACCCGACCCGTCAGTGCGCCCCGCCGCCGGGCGGTGCCTCACCTGTGTCCGGTCGTGCCGCTGCACGGACATGAGCACCTGTTCGGCCAGCGAGCCGCTGCCGCTGCTGGCGCCGTCCGGAGAGCGCACCCGCGAGCCGGGCGGCGCCGGCGGCGGGCCCAGCGGCGCCGGCCGGCGCCCGTTCTGCACGTTCTGGTAGATCTGCGGCCCGGCGCCGGGCTGGTGCAGGTGCGCCGGGTGCTGGATCAGCGGCGGCGCCGGGTGGCCCGGCGTGTGGCTGACCGAGCGGCGCGGCGGATCGGCGCCCCTCCCGCCAGACGCCGCCGGCTGGAACATGCTCCGCACACGCTGGATGGCCTGCGGCTGCGGCTGCGGCGGCGGCGCGCCGGCGGCCGGCGGCGGCTGAGCGGCCGGCGCCGGCGCCTGGTCGGCCGTCTCCAGCGTGGTGGGCAGGTCCATCAGCCGCTGGATCTGGATGCCGTCGCCAGGCCCCATGTGCGACACGTGGTTGAAGTTGGACGGCAGGGATATCATCTTGCTGCGCCGGTCGCGGTCGGCCGTGCCGTGGCCACCGCTGCCGGCGGGGGAGGAGCGTTACGACGGGCCGGTGGCAATGCTGCACCGACCAGCAGCCACCGACAGACGAACGGAACACGGCACAAGAATGATAGCATTATTTCCATGACTGATCACTGTTGAGACCCAAATAGTCCGACTACACCATAAGTAGACGGGCATCTAGTTTGGTCACTTAGCAGGTTGACAAGAGAGTATACCTAACAGCAGACGGAAGCCAATGATTAATTATGGTTACTGGAATTACTTCTGGCGCCAGCAAGAAACTTTTTTCTTTATAGTACTGCACCAATCCAATGTATCCCTTTCCGTTCCGCGCCGTCCCCCATGTCCATGTCCCGTTCAGACCCCTGCCTCTCACGTCCCGTCCCACCCCGTCAGATCCCCGTGTTCTACTAACGTTCTGGCGGCGCGCGGGTGTTCGCGGACGGAGAAGCGGCGCCGGTTGACGCGGCCGGCCGGCCGGCCGGGCCCGCTCGACTCGACGTTGATGAGCTGCGGCTGCCGGTGCATGTGGCTCAGGTAGACGACGTGCGGCAGATCGGAGACGAACGCCAGACTGAGCCGGCCCGAGCGGCCCAGCGGCCGGGCGCGGCGCACGTTCAGCGTCTGCACCCAGTCGCCCGAGCTCGCCTCGAATACGTCCAGCTGCGTGTCGCTGTACACCAGCAGCTGGCCCTCGCTGTACGCTGTGGGACAAAACACACAACATGTCAGTGTGTACACCAGCAGCTGGCCCTCGCTGTACGCTGCGGGACAGAACACACAACGTGTCAGTGTGTATAGGAGCAGCTGGCCCTCGCTGTACGCTGCGGGTCACAGAACACATTACATGTCAGTGTGTATAGGAGCAGCTGGCCCTCGCTGTACGCTGCGGGTCACAGAATACACGTGTCAGTGAGTACTTCAGCAACTGGCCCTCGCGGCTACAAGCTGCACAGGATAGAACACACAGGGGTGTTTGTAGGAACCATGGAGAACCTATCCCTTTACCACAATGTTAAGATCTAAAGGCGCGTCTACCTCAAATCTATACGCCCTATGAGCCAAGCATTAGATATCGAGTAGAATTACTTCAGGCTTCAGCCCACCGAACATATCTGAAGCACCCACTGCCATGAACCAGAGCAGCTGGCCCCTGAGCCCACAGTTCGCCGGTCGGCTGCCATCAGCATTTTGATCGCCCCAACCCAGTCACCCCACCCAGCCGCGATCAGTAGGGGCCACCCGCCCTGCCGCCGTCAGCAGCCTGCAGCCGCCCCGCCCGGCCGCAGTCGCCCGCTGATACGTACCGACAGCCACGGGCACTGCCGGGAAGAGGATCTCGCGCTCGCGGGACTTGCGGCCGTCCTTGCCGACGTACACGGCCAGACTGGAGAACACCAGCAGGTACTCGCCCCTGGAACGGCCGCAGGGGCGTTATACACAGTCCCAGACAGACAGAACACCAGCAGGTACTCGCCCCTGGAACGGCCGCAGGGGCGTTATACACAGTCCCAGAGACACAGACAGAACACCAGCAGGTACTCGCCCCTGGAACGGCCGCAGGGGCGTTATACACAGTCCTATATAGAGACACAGACAGAACACCAGCAGGTACTCGCCCCTGGAACGGCCGCAGGGGCGTTATGAAAAGAGCTATAGAGACAGACAGAACACCAGCAGGTACTCGCCCCTGGAACGGCCACAGCTGGGGCGTTATACACAGTCCCAGAGACACAGACAGAACACCAGCAGGTACTCGCCCCTGGAACGGCCGCAGGGGCGTTATACACAGTCCCAGAGACACAGACAGAACACCAGCAGGTACTCGCCCCTGGAAAGGCCGCAGGGGCGTTATACACAGTCCTACAGAGACACAGACAGAACACCAGCAGGTACTCGCCCCTGGAACGGCCGCAGGGGCGTTATACACAGTCCCAGAGACACAGACAGAACACCAGCAGGTACTCGCCCCTGGAACGGCCGCAGGGGCCGGTTATACACAGTCCCAGAGACACAGACAGAACACCAGCAGGTACTCGCCCCAGGAACGGCCACAGGGGCGTTATACACAGTCCCAGAGACACAGACAGAACACCAGCAGGTACTCGCCCCTGGAACGGCCGCAGGGGCGTTATACACAGTCCCAGACAGACAGAACACCAGCAGGTACTCCCCCTGGAACGGCCGCAGGGGCGTTATGAACAGTGCCAGAGACACAGACAGAACACCAGCAGGTACTCGCCCCTGAAACGGCCGCAGGGGCGTTATACACAGTCCCAGACAGACAGAACACCAGCAGGTACTCGCCCCTGGAACGGCCGCAGGGGCGTTATACACAGTCCCAGAGACACAGACAGAACAGCAGCAGGTACTCGCCCCTGAAACGGCCGCAGGGGCGTTATACACAGTCCCAGAGACACAGACAGAACACCAGCAGGTACTCGCCCCTGGAACGGCCGCAGGGGCGTTATACACAGTCCTATATAGAGACACAGACAGAACACCAGCAGGTACTCGCCCCTGGAACGGCCGCAGCCCACAGGGGCATTATACACAGTGCCGGGGAGATGGACGCCCCAGACATGAGTCCCGGGGAGGTCAGGCGCCCTACACACAGCCCACGGAGGGAAGGGAACTACAAACAACACTGGTCCCCGACTCCCCGTAGATACAAGTTTAGCCAAAAAAATAACTTAAAAACTTTTCCAGATACATGCACACTATGAACAGAATAGAAGATCGCTAGAGCACGATTCGCCCCACCCTGTATGTATTATAACGTCGACGCCACCCATGACTCTATCAGAGCATTCTGGCCTTACGTTCCCACTGTTTGCTATGCCGGCCGGGCTGCCGTCCGTACCTGGGCAGCTGGATGCAGCAGAGCGCGTCCACCGGGTTGTGCGCCAGGAACTCGAGCGTCTGGCTGTCGGGGTGGACCAGCGACTGCGGGTGCGCGTCGCCCGTCAGGCTGTAGATGGTGAAGCCGGACGGAAAGCCGACCGCCAGCCGGCCCTCCCCCAGCACGTCCACCGACTGCGGCTGCGCCGGCAGCAGGATCTCGCGCAGACGACGGTGGCGGCCCTTGTTGCGGTTGATCTCGTAGATGATCACCTGTCGCTTCACAGCCACGCAGAGGCAGTAGGAGGCCGCCTGCCGGCCCGCGTCCGGCTTCAGCAGACCCGTGGCGAACGTGATGCAGCCCTTGGTGTCAGACACCTGCAAGAAAAATACAGACAGTACCATAAAGTGATGCAGGCAGCCCTTGGTGTCAGACCTGCAGCGCACGAACGAGCTTCGCGTTCAGAACACCATATCAACCTGTCGACAGAACTAGCCCGACGCCCAGCCCCACAGCCCAATTCCACCCACCCCATCCGTCCAGCCCTCCCTGACCACTGCCTCCCCTATCCACGGACCTTGGTCCACTCGACCTCGTCGGCGTCCAGGGCGCGGACGGGCACCAGGCGCAGCTGGCGCTGTTTGCCGGCCAGCACCACCATCAGCTGCTCGTCGCCCAGGTACTCCACCTGCCAGATCTTCTTGGTGTCGCCCACGCGGGCAATCTCTGCCGTACGGGGGACACCGGGACCGGTCAGAGCGCACAACAGATGATACAGGCACACATGACGTACACAAAGTGAGCTAATCACGCAATTTGGGCACCGGATGTAGGTGGTGGATGGGCTGGGGATAAGAAACCCGCAAACTAGGTGACTGTGATTACGAGTATGGTGTTAGCAAAATAAAAATATGACTTGGAATTTAGGATAAACCAGCCCACATCAAGTGTGTGGTGTAGTGCATCGTTTTCACCAGCTCACACCAGCTCTGAGAACTCCCCCGCTTCACCCACCTCCCCGGCCAACCCTCACGCACCCTCCCTGTCGAGGTCGACGCAGTAGAGCGCCTCGTCGGTGCCGACCACCAGCCGGTCGGGGTCGATAATGGCCGCCGACATGGCCGACTTGATGAGCGTCAGCGCCGGCTCCAGCAGCTGGCGCGCGCGGAACACGGCCCGCTCGGGCAGCTTGTTTCGGCGCAGGATGCGGTGCAGCTCGTTCAGCGCCACCACCCACTTGGTCTTCTCCGTCTCCGTCTCGGCCAGCATCAGCGTGTGGTTGCGCAGTCCGGGCGGGTCCATCAGAGACGTGGTTATCTGCGAGCACAGGGCCGGGGAGGGGCGCGTCAGGTGGAGGGAAAGGTGCCGGACCTAATGGCCAGCCCGGGCGGGTCCATCAGGGACGCGGTTATCTGCGTGATCACGGACACGGTCGGGATCGAGCATGGTGTCAGGTGGGGGGAGGTGGTACGGGCCAAGTCGGGCCGACACGGGCCAAGTCGGGCCGACCGCCCAGCCCGAGGCAGAGACAGTGATCGAGGTAAGAAGAGAATGCAACTCAGCAACAAATCAAACGGCAGGCCGCAGTCTAGCTGGAAGTATTAAATGCTAGTGCCGATTTGGAACGCCTTCGGCAGAAGGCCGGTGAACGTGAAGGCCATCAGTCGGAAACAGCAACCACTCAATTCACACACAAGAGGCGTGCTATCCATAATCCCTGTTTCTATGTTCCTAACTCAAAAGCGTAAACCGTACTGCGTATCTGCCACCGTTCTAAGCCAGAGCAGACTGCCCGACTCACCCGGAATATACAGGCGAGGTCGCGCTTGTTGGCGTGAATCACATCGTTGTCCTTGACGGGTGTGACCTCAAAGTTTTCATCGCGCATATCCAGCACCTGGGACACGAAGACGCTCGGCAGCGCGCTCCTGGCGGAAGGGACGCGCAGACACACCCAGAGGTTAAGGTCGGTATATCTGCGGTCCAGAGACACGCAGAGCACGCCGGGCAGTTAGGGTCGGTATGTCAGCCGCGGTACAGAGACAGGCACACGAGCTCTAGGTAGGGACGGCAATACGGCCTTTCCACTAAGTTCAAACACTACACCAGCCAGTGTCTGGCCTACAATGTGTAACAGAATAAATCAGAACAAACAAACAAGGCATTGTGTCCTTGACAATTGTGTCCTTGACACCCCAGATAAATCATAGCGATCCGAGTGGTAAATACTGATAGAAAAATGCTGAGTTTAGAGATGTGCAGGATCGGATGGTAACCAGCATGCTTTGTGAGCTCCGCAGCCTGATCTTGCAACCTATTTTTCTGACACCTTCCGCTCTCCTAAAAACAATTCCCTACCTCATTGTTGCGCGAGTGAACTTACTTATCGGGCGATATATCGTAGAGGAACAGTTTGAAGTCACACACCACGACAAACTGCCTCATCCAGCCCTTTTTGACGCCGCCCGGCTTGGGCACCTTGACGTAGCCCTCGTAGGCAGTGCCCACGCCGCGCGTCGGGTCGATGCCCAGCGGACGCTTGGCTGAAAGTGGGCGCCGGTCAGTTAGCTGGGCTGGCACTGGCGGCGGCGGCGGCGGCGGCGCGGGGCCGCCCCTGTCAGTTTCGGGCAGCGCTATCGGGCGAACGAGCTAGTGCAGGCAGGGCAACCAAGTGAGACCACGCTTCAGTGTGAGACACTGCAGCTCAGTATGTTCAGGCATAAATCAATACAAGCCCATTTTAATTGTTAACATTACTTAGCTTTGAGTAACAAGACACGTTAATATTTATGTAAAATATGAACACACATCAATATTATTATTTGACACAATAAAATACAGCAGTGAGCTGAGTGAGCACAGTTAATCACGGTGGTAGCACGTTGTGTCTCCGCGCCGGGACCCGGTCCGCGCGGCGTGCGGTCGCCCCTGGGACCAGCCCCCGGCCGGGGAGGGGCAGGGGGAGGGTGGACGGCCCACTCACTCTGGTCGGCCGGTACCGGGCAGATGGCCGGCACCTTCTCCTTGCAGCCGATATGACAGGAGAAGCCGCACACCTCGCACACCACGCCCTGACGCGTCAGCCCCACCTGACAAAGGACGGTCGGGTCAGGTCATGTCAGGTCACACACCTAACAGACTTGTATTGTGCTGTAAGCCCAATCAACAACAATGCGACTGGAAAGTGAGCTAATAGCAAACATGGCAGCTTATGGCAAACATGTCCACTTGGCTATCACCTCCTGTTTCGACACCGTCGATTCCCCACCCGCCCCCGGGCCGAGCGGGGAGCTCAGCCGGCACCCCGTCGGCGCGCGCGCGTCACCCACCATCAGGCTGGTGCAGTGGTTACACTTGAGCGGTGAGCTGAACGTTCGCACCCGGAACTGGTGGAACTTGTACTTGGGCGTCAGCTGCGGCGGCTGGACGGCCGGTGCTACGCTCTGGTCCTGCGGGCGGGGCGCACAGCGCTGCATCAACACACCGACACTCGGCTGCCACAGACAGTCACCAAAAACAGCGAACGGACAGCAGTGGCCTGTCTGAATAAAGTCTTGGAAAACTTTAAGTGAATAGCAAGTGAGAATCTATTCGTTCTCCTCTGTCCCTAAAAAATCGTGAACAGTGATCCGAAATCGGGATGGTGTCATTGTAATGGCGAGGGAGGAGCCCTCGTCCTCCGGCGGCGGACTCACTATGCTGTACTCGGACTTTGAGGAGGCGATGCTGGGCACACGGCTGTCGTCGGCCTCGGCCTCCTCGCTGGCCACGCTGCCGCTGCCGCCGGCCGCTCGGCGCAGCGGCGGCTCCTTCAGGAACTGATCTAAGAACGACATCTGCGACGGCGAGCGGTCCAGGACTGCCGGCGCGCGCGCACAGACGGCCGGTCAGGGTCAGTGGACGGACGGGCGGGGAGGGGCACATACCGCATACACAGACAGCCGCGCAGCAGCGACCGTGCACCGGCAGCAGCCTATCTGATACGGCAGCAACAGTGAGATGAAACATTTAACTGTGAGCATGGAAAATACAGACTTATTAAAAGAACGCTGTGAATACCAAACCACGGATGAGATCCATTACACGTGAAGCCACAAAGCAGAGGAGACAAACATGAACAATGCAAAGCCCTGAACAGTGCTGAAACGTTTTATGCTCGAAAAAGATCCGTGGTTGATGTATGATCAAGATTGTTTTGGATAGTACACTACACACCTGCCACGGTCATAACATATTCGAGAAAGCGCCTAACAACCCTCTAGCTTTACGGTGCAAGAAGCTAAAGCAAACCATTCAAATAATGTAGCAAGCTTATGACGAGAAGACAAATAGTTTGTAAAAATGTCCAAAACGTTTTGAGATTATGTGCGCATTTCTGCAGGTGAAGCTTTTTACGAAAATTTATGACATTAATTATAAATGCATTCCCAAAACAGGCTAAAATGAAAACAAAATCCAAGACAACTCAAACTTGACAAAACTGGATTCAAAGTACACAATAGTGCCTGTTTTTTTTTTTTTAGACTATCTGTTTGTATATGCCTAAAAACTGTCCCGTAGCGACGATCTATGAGCGTGGTTCATTCCTGGAACGTGTGCTGTATTGTTACTTTTAATTGCTAACCAGAAAAAACTAAAACGGATGCATTTTAATCTGGCGTTGGACTCAAATCTGGGCACACTACAGAAGCCAACAGTAAAGCAGCCTGCGCTGTGAGCAAAAACTGCATTCTCAAAGCAAGCAGTTGAATTGGCTTATTGCAACGGGGCAACATTGCGTATAAGACCCTGCAACACTGGCTTTTTCGATACCAATATTATTGTGATAACGCTTCGAAGTTCTAGTTACGCAGTGCTCTACAAGTAGCCTTCCTGTCTCTCAGACATACACCCGGCGCTCGTCTGCGCTGCTAAAGCGGCGTCTACACGGGGACGTGCAGACGCGCCGGACACATGCGCCCTGCACGCGCTGGGCGCTCTACGGAGGCACGGCGGACGGACGGACGGACGGCGGGCGGCAGTGCGCCGGGTGAGCCGGTGTCCCGGCGGCGCCGCCCACAGACAGACACAGAGACACAGAGACACACTGACACGGCCGGAGCGGGCCGCTCGGCGGCGCTACGCACACCAAACACCGCGGCGCCGCGGTCACGGCACACCCAATCGACCGGACCGGGAGAATAGGGCGGGACGGCAGGGAGGGAGACGGGACGGCAGGCAGGACGGGCGGCACACCCACTCGACCGGACCGGGCGGACAGGGCGGGAGGGAGACGGGACGGCAGGACGGGTGGACAGAGCGGACAGGAGGAAGACGGGACGGCAGGGCGGACAGGAGGAAGACGGGACGGCAGGGAGGGAGGACAGGACGGAAGGTAGGGAGAAGGAGAGGATGGAGGACCGGGCGGACGGAGGGCAGGACGGACAGATGGCAGGGAAGGGGACGGAACGGACAGGACGGACGGCAGGATGGGGAGGGAGCAGCTCGGTCGTCAGAAGGATCATACAGGAATAGCTGAGACGGTGGTGTATGGCCGGAAGCGACAGAGCCAGAAGATGGGACGAGAAAGCGGAAATACAGCGACAGAGCGAGAAGATGAAAGTTGAAACAAGATAAAAGAAATAAAAGCGGAAATAGAGCGAAAAAAATACTGAGAAGACGTGGAAGATGGTAGGAGCAAGGGACAGGTAGATTAGAAGGGAAACGAAGGAGCACCAAGAAGAAGAGATGGAGATATGAGTGATGAAGGGGTTGGAAAGAACCAAGATGCGTGATTGAGATTGAGAAAGAGTCAGTGCGATCGACAGCGAGAACGACAAAGATAGAAAGGGAGAGAGCGCGCAACGACAGCAGGGTACACTACCACACCATACAGGGCGGGACGGGAGGGGGGGGGGAGTGTCGATGTCGTGTGAGCGGGGGGCCCGGGGGCGCCGCCGGGGCCGGACGGTCCGCACGGGTCCCGTGGTGTGCGGACGGGTAGGGGCGGGGCGGGGCGGGGCGCGGCAGGCGGGCAGACCAGGCCGGCCGGCCGGGGCTCGGCGGCGGGCGGGGCTACGTTACCGCGGTAGGAGACGGCGGACGCCGCCGCCGCCCGACGCGCCACTCCCGCTGCGTGCGCCGTCAGAAATAGATTTTTACCAGCAGAACAAGTAGGCCCCACAGACACGAGGAGACCCCCAGAAACAGGGGCACCCCGTCTGCCGCCAGACAGCACGCAGCACGTCAGCGGCCGGCACACACACACACACGCAGAGACGGCGGCGCAGACGCGTGGTGCGGTTACGGCGACAGACAGACCAGAAGCCACCGGGATACCGTCCCAACACTGACCGGGTCGGAGCGAGGCTATGGAGGACAAAGTCCGGAAACTGAGACTGGACAGAGCCGGGATACGGGAGTGGACGGTGGTGCAGCACAATCGTTACCAGCGCACAGGGACCTTCTTTATCAGTAGTCACTAAAAAAGGATGAAGTGCTCAGTGCTTCTGTCGGCACAAATCGGGCATTGTGCCGAAAGGTGGAACTCGGCGGTAGGGCCAATAAGAGGATCGGAGTAAGATCAGTCGGATTCCGAGGGTGGAACAGGTTGCCAAACACAGCCTCAAGTGGACCACGAGTGAGCGCAAGACGCCAACTACTATAACAGCTGGGCTCCGACCTACTCTGAATTCAGCTCCGTATAATAAAAACACATCCACCACAATATTATCACATTCCTCTAGACTAATCAAGAGCACGGTACAAAGCTAAAGTCGGACAGCCCGCGCACACATACATAAGAGCCAGAATACCCTAGGGACTGGATAATATCGAGCTTGGTGTGTTTTGAAAAAAAGTACCAATGGATGAGTGAAACTGTTCAAATGTTGGACGAGACACACAGTTGGTGCAAATGCGCGCGACGTTGTGCATGTTGAAAAATGCACGTGAAAATGTGCGAGTAAATGAGCATGACCAAAGTGTGCCAGATGTGCCGTGAGAGGTGCAGTGTGCAGAGGTGGTGTAATTGGTATCCGCTGGACGCGGGCCGGGTGAACTCACATCCCTCTCCGGTGGCCAGTCGCTGCTGGAGCTCGCGCAGCTGCTCGTCCTTCCGCCGGTTCTCCAGGGTGAGCTGGTCCACCGTCTGCCGGTACTCGCCCACCGCCCTGTGGACCGAGCGGCGGCGCCCGTCACATACCGTGCCACACAAACATACTGCACGATAAGGGCCACTCACACCGCCGGCAATCTACTTAGAAGCTGAAGTAAAAGCCTGATCAGAGAATAACTACCCCAGGCTGACTCAATTTTCATTCATTTGACCCGCGTCGACTAACTTTTGTCTCACGATGAGCTCTACCTGGCAGTGACTAACTTTTAACTCCCGATAGGCTCCGCCCGGCAGTGACTTACTTTTGACTCCCGATAGGCTCTGCCCGTGGGTGACTCACTTTTGACTCGCGATGAGCTCAGCCGGGCAGTGACTCACTTTTGACTCGCGATGAGCTCGGCCCGGCAGTGACTCACTTTTGACTCCCGATAGGCTCTGCCCGTGGGTGACTCACTTTTGACTCGCGATGAGCTCGGCCCGGCAGTGACTAACTTTTGACTCGCGATGAGTTCTGCCCGTGGGTGACTCACTTTTGACTCGCGATGAACTCTGTCCGTGGGTGACTAACTTTTGACTCGCGATGAGCTCGGCCCGGCAGTGACTCACTTTTGACTCGCGATGAGCTCGGCCCGGCAGTGACTCAGCTCTCCGGAGATGGACTGTTTGGCCTGGATCTCGGACTGGAGCGACGACTGCAGCGTCAGCAGCTCCATCTTGTCCAGCTTCTGGGAGCGCCGGTTGCGCCAGTTCTTCTCCTGCGGATCGCAGACAGTCAGTAGCTGCGAGGGGCGCCGTGGCCGCGCAAGTCTCATAGAGCGTGGCATAAATCATTACAGTCATACAGCGTGCCACGATCGTCGATGAGTGAAGGTGATGGCGAAGGATCGTGCTCATGACACCCTTATAGCCAGCCATCAGGATCATCTGTCAGTGCTTGCATGGGCCGTGTCAGAGTTGACTCACACCACTGCTCAGCCTACGTACCGTGGCCGGCGCCGAGCCGCCCGACACTTTGAGCATCTCGAGCTCCTCGGTCATCTTGGAGGCGAGCGCCTGCAGGTAGCCGCGCGCGTCCTTCTCCTCGCCGACCCTGCGGACGGACAGACACGGGCGGTGAGCAGTCTGAGGGGACAGTCCACCACCGGGTAACGGTACTGAGGGGACAGTTCACCACCGCCGACCCTGCGGACGGACAGACACGAGCGGTGAGTAGTCTGCACCGGGTAACGGTACTGAGGGGACAGTCCACCACTACTGACACTGCGGACGGTCAGGCACGCCGTGAGCGGCACGAGAGGGTGGCACTGCCGGCCGGCAACGGAGTCGCGGGGTAAGGGAGCACGGCACACACAGCGGCGACACGGAGACGAATAGAGTATGCGGACTAGGCCCGGTCGCTGTCTCCACTGACCAGGAGATGATCTCGGAGATCTGCGACTCCCACTGTGAGACAGACTCCTTCTTGGCCCGCAGTTCGTCCAGCTCGTCGTCCCGCTGGCGTTTCTCGGCCTGCAGTCGCGACAGCGTCTCCGAGAGCTGACGGGAGAGGTGGGGGTCAGGGCTGACGGGCAGAGGTAGAGTAGGGTCAGAGCTGACGGGAGAGGTAGGTAGGGGGTCAGAGCTGACGGTGCACGGGCAGATAGGGGTCAGAGCTGACGGGTAGAGGTAGGTAGGGGGTCAGAGCTGACGGGTAGACGGGTAGGAAGGGGTCAGAGCTGACGGGAGAGGTAGGGTAGGGGTCAGAGCTGATGGGTAGACGGGTAGGTAGGGTCACCCACCACTAGCAGTGACCAGGGAGAGAGAGAGGTACTGGCAACAGAGGACGGAGGAGGGAGGGAACAGCACTGATGAACAGATTATAGACCGCGGAAACGAAACATCAGCTCTCAGACCACATGAAAACGGTACCATATCCACAACCCTACAAACTACTCCTAAGACCTAACGGGTCTCAAAACCTCTAGCAGCGGCAGACATAAGTAAGAGTGACTGTGACGCTCTATAGTCGTGATTTGTGACTCGCACCCCTCCCCCTCCCTCGGTCATCTGTGACAGCCGGCACACGCACCCGATCGATGTCCATGATGAGCTTCTGGTTCTCGTCCTGCAGGATGAGCTTCTCGTGGTCGTGGCGGCGCCGCAGGTCGGCCAGCGCCTCGTCCTTCTCACTGACGGCGTCGTGACGCACCTGCTCCTGGCGCTCCTTCAGCGAGGAGAGCTGTGGGAGGGGAGAGCCGGGCACGTCAGCGGACAGGGACGGGATGGGTCCAGCGACAACACATGGCGCACCTGCTCCTGGCGCTCCTTCAGCGAGGAGAGCTGTGGGAGGGGCGAGCCGGGCACGTCAGAGCGGACAGGGGCGGGATGGGTCCTTCAGAGACACATGGCGCACCTGCTCCTGGCGCTCCTTCAGCGAGGAGAGCTGTGGGAGGGGCGAGCCGGGCACGTCAGCGGATAGGGACGGCATGGGCCCAGCGACAACACATGGCGCACCTGCTCCTTCCGCGAGGAGAGCTGCCAGACAGGCGGTGACACGGTCACATCACCCGACGGGCGCCGGATCGATCAGTTGACACTTTCACCTGTAGTTGGCAACAAGCCACTCAAACATTTTCCGGCCCGCTAATATCTTTGCGGCACTCACCAACACTGGCCAGTAGTGGCGACAAAGTCCTGCCGCCAACAGCAGGCTGCTCTCCGCACCCCAGAGCTGCTGCTCCCACCAATCCCACAGCTGCTCTCACACAGCAACAAATGCAGCTCCCGAAAACCCACCTCTTGCAGTAGCGTGTCCCGCTCGACGCGCCCTACCCCCCCCCCCCCCCCCACACACACACATCCACCTCCTGCAGTAGCGTGTCCCGCAGGCTCCCCCCCCTTTATCACACCCACCTCCTGAAGGAGCGTGTCCCGCTCAGCGAGGCCCTCCCCCTTCCCCTACCCACCTCCTGGAGGAGCGTGTCTCGCTCGGCGCCCCCTTCTCCCTCCCCCTACCCACCTCCTGGAGGAGCGTGTCCCGCTCGGTGCGCCCCTCCCCCCACTGGCGGATCCAGGCTTGCGTTTTTTTTTTTTTTTGGGGGGGGGGGGGCAACTCATGCAGGAGCCAAACCTAGGGTACCCCAAATCCTGTTTTCTCATCGGATTTAGGCCACTTATTTTTCGTCACAGCCCTGACACTATGAATATTTTTATTTTTTTACTGAAAAGAAAAATATATAAATGGTAGCCCACCCGACCCATGCCTTTATATTACTTTGTAAACACTTACCATTGCTTTTGTCGACCAGTTACACTTACCATTGCTTTTGTCGACCAGTTAACCCGCTTCGAGTCAGTGCTTGGGTCCCTTTGCGGGCCGGGAGATGGTAAAACACCACCTGTCTAACTCGGCTCCTGGGCCACGCACTGATTGAACTATGTTTCATTATCGTTTGGGGGAGGGGGCAAACGGGCCACTTTAGGCCTCTGGGAAGGGGGCATGGCCCTAGATGCCCCCTCCCTGGATCCGCCAGTGCCTCCCCCTACCCACCTCCTGCAGTAGCGTGTCCCACTGCCCCTCTTCCCCCTACCCACCTCCTGCAGTAGCGTGTCCCGCTCGTCGCCCCCTACCCACCTCCTGCAGTAGCGTGTCCCGCTCGGCGAGCCCCTCCCCCTACCCACCTCCTGGAGTAGCGTGTCCCGCTCGGCGAGCCCCCCCCCCTCCCCCTACCCACCTCCTGGAGGAGCGTGTCCCGCTCGGCGCGCGACTCGGACACCTGCTCGGTGAGGCGCGCCACCTCCTTGGCCGTGCGGCTCTGGTGCTGCAGCAGCGCCTCACGCGAGTCCACCTCGGCCCGCTCCAGCTCCGCCTTCAGCCTGCCGGCGACGGAGAGCGGTCAGGGTAACCGTCACCGCAGCCCAGCGCACGGCAGACTGGGACGGACCCCGTGTGACAGAAACGTTCTTAATGTTGATGCATGCAACTTGAGATAGTTCGGATCTACCAAATCGCGAGGTTCGAATCCGCAATGGCTCATCAGCAGAGGGCCTGAATTCGTTGGAGCTAAAAAATCAAGAAGGAAACAGAACACTCCTTGAGCAGCAACGGTTCAAACATTCAAACACAACAATACGCCATAATAGCGATGCCCCGCCCCTTCCACAGCCGCTCGTTCCCCGCCCTCCCTGTCCCCGGCCCCGTGGGTGCCGTCCGGTCGGCAGTGGTCGGCGGGCGGCGCACCTCTGCAGCTCGGCGCTCGAGTCGGTGGCGGCCGGCGCCGGGCCCGAGCTGCGCTGCCGCAGCAGCTCCAGCTCCTCGGCCGTGGCTCGGCCCGTCTCCTCGGCGCGCTGCCGCTGGCGCCGCTCGCGCGCCGACTCCTGCTCGGCCTGTTCGCAGCGCGCCTCCAGCTCGCGGCGCAGCTTCTCGCCGCGCCGGATGTCCTGCCGCAGCGCGTCCAGCTTCTGCATCGAGGTCTCCACCTCCTCCTCCTTATCGCGCACCTGGCGGGAGAGCTTCTGCTTCTGGGCGCGCAGCTCCGACAGCCTGCGGCGCGCGGACGGCGGGAGGGGGCGGTCAGAGGTGTCACAGTTCCCCGCCCGCACCCTAACGTGTTGTTGGTGACACCGGACACCGCACCGGTCACCCGATAGCGCGGTGTAGGGCACAGTGAGCGGTGGGGGGGGGGATAAACAGCAGCCGAGGGAGATGTGGGCGTTTGGCATATTCGGAACCAGGCGAGAATAACGCATACACCGCTACCATGTGTGTAACAGCTGAGAGCTTGCAGGCACCTAGAAATGTCAGAATGATTTACCGGACGGTAGTTTTACGTGAGTTTTCTCATACACAATGACGAAACTGTCCAACTTTTGCATTTTACGGTAACAAATGAGAACACCAGTGACCATTCATTGCACCCCAGTGGGCTTGCATTCTGCTAATGTAAAAACGACCAACTGAAAGGAATCCAGTTCACAACTTCCACGGAAGCTCGGATACCCCATCGCCCGGCACCATCAACAGCCGCGCCGATCGGCCCCCGGCCACTCACTTGTCGCTGACTTCGGCGTACTCTGACATGGCCAGTTTGCGCTGGGAGAGCGCGTCGGCCAGCTCCCTGCCCTGCAGCTGCAGCTTCTCCTGCGCCTCCTGCAGCTCGCGGCGCAGGCCGTCCCGGTCGGCGGCGGCCACCTTGAGCGAGCGCTCCAGCTCGCGCCGCTGGGAGGAGGCCTCCGACTCGGCCGAGTCCAGCTCCTGGCGCAGCAGTGTGGCGTCGGCCGTCTGCTGGCGCTCCCCGGCCAGCTGCAGCTCCAGCTCTGACACACAGACACACACACGGTCAGCAGGGTGGCGTCGGCCGTCTGCTGGCGCTCCCCGGCCAGCTGCAGCTCCAGCTCTGACACACAGACACACAGCGGTCAGTGGGGTGGCGTCGGCCGTCTGCTGGCGCTCCCCGGCCAGCTGCAGCTCCAGCTCTGACACACAGACACACAGCGGTCAGTGGGGTGGCGTCGGCCGTCTGCTGGCGCTCCCCGGCCAGCTGCAGCTCCAGCTCTGACACACAGACACACAGCGGTCAGTGGGGTGGCGTCGGCCGTCTGCTGGCGCTCCCCGGCCAGCTGCAGCTCCAGCTCTGACACACAGACACACAGCGGTCAGTAGGGTGGCGTCGGCCGTCTGCTGGCGCTCCCCGGCCAGCTGCAGCTCCAGCTCTGACACACAGACACAGACACACACAGCGGTCAGTGGGGTGGCGTCGGCCGTCTGCTGGCGCTCCCCGGCCAGCTGCAGCTCCAGCTCTGACACACAGACACACAGCGGTCTGAGTGGGGTGGCGTCGGCCGTCTGCTGGCGCTCCCCGGCCAGCTGCAGCTCCAGCTCTGACACACAGACACAGACACAGACAGCGGTCAGTGGGGTGGCGTCGGCCGTCTGCTGGCGCTCCCCGGCCAGCTGCAGCTCCAGCTCTGACACACAGACACACACACAGCGGTCAGTGGGGTGGCGTCGGCCGTCTGCTGGCGCTCCCCGGCCAGCTGCAGCTCCAGCTCTGACACACAGACACACAGCGGTCAGTGGGGTGGCGTCGGCCGTCTGCTGGCGCTCCCCGGCCAGCTGCAGCTCCAGCTCTGACACACAGACACACACACAGCGGTCAGTGGGGTGGCGTCGGCCGTCTGCTGGCGCTCCCCGGCCAGCTGCAGCTCCAGCTCTGACACACAGACACACAGCGGTCAGTGGGGTGGCGTCGGCCGTCTGCTGGCGCTCCCCGGCCAGCTGCAGCTCCAGCTCTGACACACACACACACACACAGCGGTCAGTGGGGTGGCGTCGGCCGTCTGCTGGCGCTCCCCGGCCAGCTGCAGCTCCAGCTCTGACACACAGACACACAGCGGTCAGTGGGGTGGCGTCGGCCGTCTGCTGGCGCTCCCCGGCCAGCTGCAGCTCCAGCTCTGACACACAGACACACAGCGGTCAGTGGGGTGGCGTCGGCCGTCTGCTGGCGCTCCCCGGCCAGCTGCAGCTCCAGCTCTGACACACAGACAGACAGACACAGACAGCGGTCAGTGGGGTGGCGTCGGCCGTCTGCTGGCGCTCCCCGGCCAGCTGCAGCTCCAGCTCTGACACACAGACACACAGCGGTCAGTGGGGTGGCGTCGGCCGTCTGCTGGCGCTCCCCGGCCAGCTGCAGCTCCAGCTCTGACACAAAGACACACAGACACACAGCGGTCAGTGGGGTGGCGTCGGCCGTCTGCTGGCGCTCCCCGGCCAGCTGCAGCTCCAGCTCTGACACACAGACACACAGCGGTCAGTGGGGTGGCGTCGGCCGTCTGCTGGCGCTCCCCGGCCAGCTGCAGCTCCAGCTCTGACACACAGACACACAGCGGTCAGTGGGGTGGCGTCGGCCGTCTGCTGGCGCTCCCCGGCCAGCTGCAGCTCCAGCTCTGACACACAGACACACACAGACACACACAGCGGTCAGTGGGGTGGCGTCGGCCGTCTGCTGGCGCTCCCCGGCTAGCTGCAGCTCCAGCTCTGACACACACAGACACACACAGCGGTCAGTGGGGTGGCGTCGGCAGTCTGCTGGCGCTCCCCGGCCAGCTGCAGCTCCAGCTCTGACACAAAGACACACAGACACACAGCGGTCAGTGGGGTGGCGTCGGCAGTCTGCTGGCGCTCCCCGGCCAGCTGCAGCTCCAGCTCTGACACACAGACACACAGACACACAGCGGTCAGCAGTGTGGCGTCGGCCGTCTGCTGGCGCTCCCCGGCCAGCTGCAGCTCCAGCTCTGACACACAGACACACACACAGCGGTCAGCAGTGTGGCGTCGGCCGTCTGCTGGCGCTCCCCGGCCAGCTGCAGCTCCAGCTCTGACACACAGACACACAGCGGTCAGTGGGGTGGCGTCGGCCGTCTGCTGGCGCTCCCCGGCCAGCTGCAGCTCCAGCTCTGACACACAGACACACACACAGCGGTCAGTGGGGTGGCGTCGGCCGTCTGCTGGCGCTCCCCGGCCAGCTGCAGCTCCAGCTCTGACACACAGACACACAGCGGTCAGTGGGGTGGCGTCGGCAGTCTGCTGGCGCTCCCCGGCCAGCTGCAGCTCCAGCTCTGACAGAGGGATACGCGGGTCAGCGGACACATACGGGTTGGACCAACATCAGTGTGGCGGTACAAGGGTTACTGCAGAGGAGGAACGTTTGTCAGAGGTCGGACACAGACGGGTCAGAGACTGGGGACACACGGCTCGCCGGCGACAGCCCACAGGTCGGTACCTGGACGTCCACGTACCGTGTTTGTGCGTCTGCAGGGTGCGCAGCTGGTCTTTGAGCGTCTGCAGCTCCTCACTGTCGGGGACGTCCACCGACGGCGCGCCCTCGGCCAGCGGACCGTGCACGTGCGCCTGCAGTGTGCGCGTGGTGTCTGCGGGCGGCGGCGGCCGGTCAGCGGCACACACACAGCGGCACCGCGGGACATTCACTGCGTACCTCAGCAAACCGAGTACCGGGGAACCACAGGCGACTCGACACAACTGCCCCTCTGATAGCCCAATGTCGCACACACTTGTCATCAGCAGAGTAAGATAACCAATCGGCTTCCGTGCTGACCGTCTTATAGAACTATTTTATCGAATGAGAGCCTCTTCAGAACCCATCCAAACACTTGAAAGCTCGGCCTGCAAGTGCCTGACCAATTGAGGATGAACGGAACGGGGGCAGGTCATTGCGACACAGGGCGGCTGGCTTTCGATAGTCATGCCTAAACGTTTCTATGATATGGGCAATACACGAATATCTTAAGCATCTAAAGCTAGTGAACAAGGAGAGTATCGTCACGCTGGGCATATTGTTTCCTCTCTCTCCCCTCACTTGTGGGGGGGGGGGGGAGGAGGAGCTCCCCGTCCCCCTTACCAGCCAGCCGTCGGCTGAGGTCCCCCTTACCTGCCAGCCGGCGGCTGAGGTCCCCCTTACCTGCCAGCCGTCGGCTGAGGTCCCGGTTCTCCTGCTCCAGCCGGCGGCTGAGGTCCCGGTTCCCCTTCCCTCACCTGCCAGCCGTCGGCTGAGGTCCCGGTTCCCCTTCCCTCACCTGCCAGCCGTCGGCTGAGGTCCCGGTTCCCCTTCCCTCACCTGCCAGCCGTCGGCTGAGGTCCCGGTTCCCCTTCCCTTACCTGCCAGCCGTCGGCTGAGGTCCCAGTTCCCCTTCCCTCACCTGCCAGCCGTCGGCTGAGGTCCCCCTCACCTGCCAGCCGTCGGCTGAGGTCCCGGTTCCCCTTCCCTCACCTGCCAGCCGTCGGCTGAGGTCCCGGTTCCCCTTCCCTTACCTGCCAGCCGTCGGCTGAGGTCCCGGTTCCCCTTCCCTCACCTGCCAGCCGTCGGCTGAGGTCCCGGTTCTCCTGTTCCAGCCGGTGAATGCGCCGCTCGAACGCCGCTCGGCTCAGCTCGTCCAGGGCGTCAGCGCCGGCCGACGAGGGGGCCGAGATGAGGCAGCCCTCGTCACTGATCCGGCTGCCGCGGCGCAGGGCAGGGACACACGGTCAGACCACGGGCAGAGCCGCCGTCGGCGCACAACAGGTCAGAGCTGCCGGTTCGCGGTCAGCCTGTCGCGACACGACGCAATACGAAAAACACCAGGCTGGCTGTACTACGGGGAAAATGTGTAAAAATGCGTCCATGATCCGTCTCAAGTACGTCCATGAGATGAAACCTGTGTGGAGGTGAATCCTTCCTTCACCAGCCCTGTGCTAAGATGAATCCTGTCAGTTATCACCTGCCCTGTGTGAAGGTGAACTCAGTCAGTACTCACCTGTCCTGTGTGAAGGTGAACTCAGTCAGCACTCACCTGCCCTGTGTGAAGGTGAATCCGACGAAGGGCAGGTGCAGCGCCGTGAAGAAGGCGTTGGTGACGGGCGGCAGGGTCTCCGAGCTGCGCACGTCCAGGTCGTCCACGTCGAAGTTGCTGGTGTCGCACGGCGAGCTCACCTCTGGCACGTAGGGCGCCGTCGAGTCGCGGATCGTGTCCCAGTCGATATCGACGAACCACGGGTGGCTCTGCGGGCCACCGGCCAACGGCGCCGTCAGTACGGGATACAGGCGACTTTTGACCACGACTTAACAATAGGGATTGGGTGCGAGGGCGTACGTCGCACACGATCATTGTCTAATAACTATGTTCATATTTGTTATTAACTACTTTCAATTTTATCAGATGGTGTCCATAACCATCACGAAAAAATTGAGAATCATTCCACGTTCCCTGACAGGCCGTTTTGGGATGAACGTCTCATTACACTAGAATGCCGGCCCTCGCGGTCGCTCGCCGGCCGGGCCGTACCTTGAAGTCGTCGATACCGTTCTGGCCGAGCCGGTACTCCTTGGCGCAGATGAGTCGCTTCAGCAGGTCCTTGGCCGTGTCAGACACCTCGACGTCGGACGGAAAGTCCAGGCAGTTCTGAGGGTCGCCGCGCACAGCGGTTAGAAAGCAAGCAAATGAAACATTGGAGTTTATAAAAAACATTCAATAAAGATTTGCAAACAGCAAGACAATGTAAGTAGCAATAATACTGGTCAAAAGGCGCAACCATAACGTCTTGAGAAGCCAACAATTTATGAAATATGCGAGAGAGAATACAGTCTACCTTCGTATTTCAAAGGAACCGAAGGGACGCCCAATCCTTCACGACATTATCTGATCCCGCTTATCCAATGCACTGCCGCGTAACACCCGACAATCAGCAGCCCCTCCGGGTTGGTCCCTGGACGGGCGGGCGGCACTCACACTGTGGTTCATGATCTTGCCGTACGTCTCCACCAGGCTCTCAGCGTAGAACGGCGTCTCGGCGTACAACATCTCGTACATGCAGACGCCGAGCGACCACCAGTCGCACTCGGGCCCGTACCGGCCCTGGTTGTCCTCCATCGCCTGGGGGCAGAGACGCGGTCATTACAGTCACACACGTTACAACACTCGGGCCCGTACCGGCCCTGGTTGTCCTCCATCGCCTGGGGGCAGGGACGCGGTCAATTACAGTCACACACAATACAACACTCGGGCCCGTACCGGCCCTGGTTGTCCTCCATCGCCTGGGGGCAGGGACGCGGTCAATTACAGTGAAACACACACGGTATAACACTCGGGCCCGTACCGGCCCTGGTTGTCCTCCATCGCCTGGGGGCAGGGACGCGGTCAATTACAGTGAAACACACACGGTATAACACTCGGGCCCGTACCGGCCCTGGTTGTCCTCCATCGCCTGGGGGCAGGGATACGGCCATTACAGTCACACATGTTACAACACTCGGGCCCGTACCGGCCCTGGTTGTCCTCCATAGCCTGGGGGCAGGGACGCGGTCAATTACAGTCGCACGCACACGTTACAACACTCGGGACCGTACCGGCCCTGGTTGTCCTCCATCGCCTGGGGGCAGGGACGCGGTCAATTACAGTCACACATGTTACAACACTCGGGACCGTACCGGCCCTGGTTGTCCTCCATCGCCTGGGGGCAGGGATACGGTCATTACAGTCACACACGTTACAACACTCGGGCCCGTACCGGCCCTGGTTGTCCTCCATCGCCTGGGGGTAAACACATGCACAATCAGTAACAGTAACACACGGTAAGCTGCGGTCACAGTCGGTCATTTCGTACGTTCGGACGTCATACTCACCCAGAGGATCTTTGGACTGATGTGATGTACTCACCCAGAGGATCTCTGTACTGATGTGATGTGCTCATCTAGAAGATCTCTGGACTGGTGCACCCACCCGGAGGATCTCTTGATGTAGTCTGTACCCACCCGGAGGATCTCTGTACTGATGTACTCACGTGGAGGATCTCCGGATTGATGTACTCACGCGGAGGATTTCTGGACTGATGTGATGTACTCACCTAGAAGATCTCTGGACTGGTGCACCCACCCGGAGGATCTCTTGATGTAGTCTGTACCCACCCGGAGGATCTCTGTACTGATGTACTCACGCGGAGGATCTCCGGATTGATGGACTCACGCGGAGGATTTCTGGACTGATGTTATCTGTACTTAAACTCACGCGGAGGATTTCTGGACTGGCGTTGTAACCCGGAGGATCCCTGGACTGATGTACTCACGCGGAGGATTTCTGGACTGATGTAATCTGTACTTTAACTCACGCGGAGGATCTCTGGACTGATGTAGTCTGTCTGTACTAACCCGGAGGATCTCTGGACTGGTGCTCTAACCCGGAGGATCTCCGGACTGATGTACTCACGCGGAGTATTTCCGGACTGATGTACTCACGCGGAGGATCTCTGGACTGATGTAGTCGGGCGTGCCCACGGCCACGTTGCTCTGTACGGTGCCGTCCTCGCTGAGCCGCAGGCAGGAGCCGAAGTCGGCCAGACGGATGTGGCCGTTGGCGTCCAGCAGCACGTTGTCCGGCTTGATGTCGCGGTGCACGTAGCGCAGCTTGTGGATCGAGTCGATGGCCAGCACCATCTCGGTGATGTAGAACTTGGCCATGCTCTCTGGGATGCCGTCGGCGAACTTGGCCAGCAGTGTGAGCAGGTCGCCGCCGCAGTAGTAGTCCATCACCAGGTACTGCCGGGTCAGACAGTGTGGGGTCAGGCCAGCACTCAGTACTCAGTAGGTACTGGCAGGGAAGCAGACGGACACAGAGTAAGGTCAGCACTATGTCCGCCCGAGGCCGAAGCGGTAGGCTTTTATGCACGTCTTACTGAAAGCTCTGCGCACATATCCATCACGAGAAGATACGCTATACGGACCGACCACAAACACGCCCGACGGCAGGCCGGACCCATGAAGACGTTCGCACATATGTAGTTGGTGGGGGCTAATCTCTATTACCAAACGGGCGCGTACCATCTTTATGATTGCAGACTACATGCATCACAAACAAACTTCCAATAAAAGTCCATCATTCGCCGAGCATGGTTTACACAATTCCGCTATTACTTGCGTCACTCAATACTGTCAACCTAAAAACATATACATCCTGAAATGTGCACCTACTTAAAACGTTTGATCGTGTATCCATTCAGTGCATAAGAACATGTCATAAAACGATGCCTACCATAAAATTATATGTAGCCGTTACTGGAAACTGAAATGAATACTTCACAATGCATATTGCGGCCTTGTAAGTTACAGCGCCTAGGCCGGGGAGCATCGTTCTAGTGGACAGGCACTTTTCGGGCCGGACACGTTCTGCCTAACGTCCCCAATCCCCATGGACAGGGCACGGTTTGTCTATCCAGGCCCAGACACGTCCTGCCTAACGTCCCCATGGACAGGGCCCTGTTGGTCTGTCCGGCGTGCGGACAGCCCAGCCCTCGGTCTCCGAAACACAAACAGGCTGTCGCCACGGCCGCTCGCGCCGCCGCTGCAGGCCCGGCCCGGCCCGGTGCACGGGAGCATGGGTGCAGCGAGCGATAAACAGGCGCGCCGTGCCCGACCGCCGCGCCGCCGGACAGACCGACGGACGGTCCTGGCCGGCTCTCAGTCAGGCCTCATCAGATGCGGCTCGGCTCGCGGTCAGACACAGACCCGGTCAGGTCAGACACAGACCCGATCAGGTCAGATACAGACCGGCACAGGCTCTCAGCTGTCTGGTCTGGTCCAGACCCGGCCGGCTCTCAGTCAGGCCTGATCAGATGCGGCTCGGCCCTCGGTCAGGTACAGGCGCGGACTGGCTCCCAGTCAGACCCCGCCCGTGTCCCAGGAGACCGATGGTCTCCTGGGACACGGGAGACAGGTGCTGACCCAGGGCGACTACTCGCGGAGGGTTCCCTCAGCGCGTGCTTCCCGCGCCCTCAGAAATCCTCCCCCCCCCCACACTGACAGACGGTACCTATCATCCGCCGGACCACCGACCAGACTATTGTCAATAGGCGCCGGCGTCACTGACCAGATTGTTGTCGTCCTGGAAGGCGTAGTGCAGGTCGGTGATCCAGCGCCGGTCGCCGTACACCAGCACGTCTCGCTCCTCCTGGAAGCAGGCCGTCTCCACCCGCTTCAGCATCTCCCACTTGTTCAGAATTTTCATCGCAAACACCTGAAAAACACAGACAGACAGACGGTGGGTTAGAATTGTCCGGTGCGTGTGAAAAGGATAATTCAGGCGGATGTGTGCCATGTATGCACACGCTGGTCGACATCTCTACCACTACTCGTTACCAGGCACTGACCAATGACTAGGACCAGTATTTGCCACGTCCTCCAACACGCATGTTGTCCAGAATCGGAGAAAAGTGTCATCGATGAAAAAACTTTGCATTAATATTCAATGTGCAGTGCATACTGCAAACTAGCTCAAGCAAATGCATCACCAAACCAGGAATTCACAAGTTTGCCTCCATCCGTTCTGAACACGATTTCGTATTCAATCGTCTTTCATATCCTCCTTTTTCTCCTTTCTTTTCCTTTCGCTTACCTTTTCTGTGGAGCGCATTTTGACGACGCAGACCTCTCCGAAGGCCCCGCGTCCAATCACCTTCAGAATCTCGAAGGCATCTCGACACAGCCGCAGCGATTTGACCCTCTGGACGACGGGCCGCGCTGTGGACAGAGGGGGGAGGTCAGAGGTCAGCACGGGCTGCGAACAGAGGCGAGAGGTCAGCACGGGCTGTGGACAGAGGGGAGAGGTCAGCACGGCCTGTGGACAGAGGGGAGGGGAGAGGTCAGACCAGGCTGTGGACAGAGGGGGGAGGTCAGCACGGACTGTGTACAGATGGGAGAGGTCAGCACGGGCTGTGGATAGAGGGGAGAGGTCAGCACGGGCTGTGGACAGAGGGGAGAGGTCAGCACGCGCTGTGGACAGGGGAGAGGTCAGCACGGGCTGTGGACAGAGGGGGGAGGCAGAGGTCAGCACGGTCTGTGGACAGAGGCAGAGGTCAGCACGGGCTCCGCGCTAGGGAGGGGGGCGGGGATCGAACGCCCTGGAGATCAACCATATCCCGAGCCCACCATAAACAAACGCAGAGTACCTATGTGTGAAAATGTGCCATGCATTACATACATCACAGCGTCTAGCACGTTAGAGTGACGACTTTTATTACCGGTGTCTGTTATTCAAATCAACTTTCCAGTTCATATAAAATAAATATGAAACACGACGATGATTGAACTGGATGACATCAAAGCAGTTGGTAACTGAATGTAATCTTGCAACGTATATCCACAAATGGTTTAGGTGCCTACTGTGAGTCAGAAAGGAGCACCCCACGCCGCAGCCCCCCCCCCCATGCGCCACGGGAACAGGCGGCGGCCGCTGCGGCCCGCTGACCGACGGCCATTCAGCCGCGCACTGAGTGTGACGTCACACACAGCGGCGGCACCGGTGTGACGTCACCGGCTGGCCGGCCGCCAAGGACGGTGCGGCCGCCGTGCCGTGCAGATGAGAGACGGAGGCACGGCCGGCGCCGACAGCTCCTGAGCTGAGGTATATGGAGCGGTGCTCCGCCCGGCCGGAAGTCAGGGGCGCCGCCGGCCCAGCGTGCTGTTCTATATCCCCTGGATCGTACAGCTGTGCTGATACCGTGCTGACCGGCCCCTCAGTGGACTGCCGATCATAAACAGCGCAACGGCGGAATATAGCCCGCCGCCCCGCCAAACGCCGCACCGGCGGATGGATGTCGTGCTCCCGGGGAAACGTCGCCGCAGGGACACACACGCTACTGCACCGCACTGCATACCATTACAGTATACTGCACTACATGGATGAGGGGCCAGCCAGGTATCGACGCTCGACTACTGATCCGCCCTTACTTTCCTCAGGACCTGCCGCATCAGTTCCCACGGTACCTGGTCCGGACGACCAGGCAGCCCCCTCCAGACAACCGGCGCGGCGCGGTGGTGAGGACAGGTCCCCGTCGGACCATTCCCTCCCCAGAGTGACCGTTCGACTGGCCCTGTCCCATTGGGAGATTCCCGTGCCAGAGGAACGATCTCTGCCAGTGCGTTACACAGCGCAGTCCTCTTTGTCCCGTGTTCTTATCCTATCCTATCGTCCCATACCTCTGTAATGGCCTTCTCAGACCCCCCCCCCCTCCCCAGAAATAAACGATCTCACTCCCAACAAACCAGCAGAAAGCTCGCCTACACAGGTAGGCAGATGTGGCCTTGTTGTGCACACCTTATCGGTATCGTTTGTCACTCATCCATCAATTGGTTGAGAACGCCCGGATAGTTACTTTTAATCGGCCAGGGTGACACTTCTCCATACCTCACTTCCAGACAGACGGAGGGATATCGCTGATAAGATGGGGAAAACGAACAGCCAAGTGTTCGCTTTAAGGTCAAGTTCAAGATCAGGTCAAGATCGGTTACCGCATATTTTCATGTCAGCTGTAGCATGAGAAAAGCGCAAAGTATTATGAGTCATTACACTCCCATCATTCAACAGAGGGGCTAGGTCAGTGAAGCAAGTAAACATCAGGTGGCCAGTCAGGGTCAGATCAAATCAGGTCACTTCATTATTGGTTTCCGACGCTCAGCGGTATTTATCTGATTTAGGTTATTACAAATGTAAAAAAGCAAATCAAAATGGAATAATGGAAAGTAACAACCGAAATGGCTAGCTAGTGTGCCCCTTCCTTTTTTGGCCAGCCAGCAGCTGAGAGGGTAGGTGGGCTCCGGTAGCAGTAGGTGGGCTCCGGTAGCAGTGTGCTGAGAGGGTAGGTGGGCTCCGGTAGCGGCTGAGAGGGTAGGTAGGCTCCGGTAGCAGTAGGTGGGCTCCGGTAGCAGTGTGCTGAGAGGGTAGGTGGGCTCCGGTAGCAGTGTGCTGAGAGGGTAGGTGGGCCCCGGTAGCAGCTGAGAGGGTAGGTGGGCCCCGGTAGCAGTAGGTGGGCTCCGGTAGCGGCTGAGAGGGTAGGTGCAGACTCGGGCCGCCGCGCAGCGCACGAGCGGGCGGCGCGCGCGTACGGCGCCGCCGGCTATTTCGGTCGCACGCACGGCGGCGATAATACGGGCCCGCCCTGTCCCGCTGTCCAAACAAACAGCCCGCCGAGCCGCCGAGCAGCGTGGCCGCCGAACCGCTGAGCCGCCGAGCCGCCGAGCAGCGTGGCCGCCGCCGAGCAGCGCCGGTCGGCCAGCGACCCGCCGCGCGGAGCGGACGGATCAGCGCGCCGCCCACCGACGGCTCACTATTGATCCGGGGTGTGACCCATCCCGGTCCGGCCCGGTCCCGGAGGAGACACGGCCCGGCCCGGCCCGGCCCGGCCCGTCCTACCGTCCGTCACCCGGCACCAGGCGCCCGCAGAGTCTGACGGGTACCGCTAGTCCGGAGTCGCCGATTTTCCGTCCCGGTTGAGGAAGAGCGAACGAATCGGACCCGTCACATGAGCCAGTGCAAATACGCAAACACGGACATCTTCCGGCTAAAAAGTGGTCCGAACGAAAGCTAGGCCAACATCGCACCGAAAGTAAATTGGGTTTATGACAGCGCACTTTCTTCTCGTTATCAGTGGACGTGAAGGCTGTAACAATTGCAAAATGCCCAGATTTCGTTCATTTGGGTTTTAGAGATAAGAGGAAACTGTGGTCGGATTAAATTTAGATCATGGGTGGCAACCTTTCCAACCATTCATTCGAGTTGCAAAGATAACAATTCGTTTACCAGTTGGAATTATAGACCTATAGAGACAAACGACGGTGTTCATTTATCGCCTATCGCCTGTTGACTCTGAGCGTAGCTCAGTCACGTTTATGAATGTCACAAAGTCCAATGTTTCCTTTACATATTTATATTTTAATCTATCCGATTAAGCTGAAGCTGAGCCAGTGAATGTTCCCTGATGGCCACTATCGACCCTTACATCGACATGCCACCCGTTACCACAAACTAGGGGCGGGCCGGCAGATCTGAGCAATCAAATCTTTGTCACATTATTTCATTCCGTGGTGTGATTGCTGCTGTGGCGCCGACGGCCCGCCTCGCGGCCGGCGCGTCGCCGACGGCGCGCAAGGTCGGTGCGGCGGCCGGGCGTCCGAAATAGCTGCGGCGGAGAGGGCAGCGCGGCGGGCCAACGAGCGGGAACGACGGGCGCCGGCCGGCCGCCAGCTGACGGACGGCGGCGGCGGCAGCCCCCCACCGACCGCCGCCAGCCGGACAACCAAACGCCGAGTCCACGAAGGAAATAACACGCCGGAAATGAAATGTCGGATGCTTCATAAACAAATAAATTAAATATGGGAAACGTATTGAAAATTGAAAGTGGTCAGCCGATAACAATGTCGCCTTGAACCATCGGAACTCTATGGGATAGCCATAACACTTGAATGATACATCTACCCCACAAACAATAACCGCAAGCCTCTATCCTCCTCCAATTTGTTTCTTTTCTATGTCGCCCTTTTCCATTGCCTCTTTCTGTGCAAAATCTCATAGAAACGCCAGTTCTTCAGGAGAAAGGGATGTATACTGCACAGTTTAATAAAAAAAAAGGTAAAATCGAGTTAGTTCCTCAACTTTGTACTGTTCGCTGGTCCCGAAATGTATGTTCGCTGGTCCGTTCACTAGTCGAGACCCCCAAATCTCCGGTGTGCCGGTGGCGGGCGCAGCAGTGACCATCGACCAGCCGGCGCGGGGCGGACCGGCATTGATCTCCGCAGTCAGCGGCGCTGCGGACCGCCGGCCGCCCTCTCCACGTCTGCGGACCGCCGGGCTGCCCTCTCCACGGCTGCGGACCGCCGGTCTGCCCTTTCCACGGCTGCGGACCGCCGCGGCTGCCTTCTCCACGGCTGCGACTGCGGACCGCCGGCTGCCCTCTCCACGTCTGTGGACCGCCGGTCTGCCCTCTCCACGGCTGCGACTGCGGACCGCCCGGCTGCCCTCTCCACGGCTGCGGACCGCCGGCTGCCCTCTCCACGTCTGCCCGCTGCCCGTCAGAGGGACACCCTGCCGCCCATCACAGGCCAGAGGGACACCCTGCTGACCGCCCGGTCTGCCCTCTCCATGTCTGCAAGTGCGGACCGCCAGTCTGCCCTCTCAACGTCTGCCCGCTGCCCGTCTGTGAACACCCTGCCGACCTCTACCTCTCAGAGGGATACCATGCCCCGTCAGCGGGACGCCCTGTTGCCCGTCAGGGAGACACCCTGCCGCCCTCTCCCCGTCAGGGGAACACCCTTCCACCCTCTCCCCGTCAGAGGGACACCCTGCCGCCCTCTCCCTCTCAGAGGGCCGCCCTGCCGCCCTCTCAAAGGACCACCCTAACGCCCTCTCCCCGTCAGAGGGGCGCCCTGTCGCCTGTCTTTGGACGCCTTGCCGACCATCAGAGGGATACACTGCCGCCTTCCTCCCAGCAGTCGGTGAGGTCTATGTGGGATAACCGACAGACGAAACATTGGCTCGACAGGACTGCTTTGGACCAGCATGGATTACGTCCCCCATGAAATAGGCATCCAGTCTGAAACAGACTGAGGCATCCAGGCAGAGACAGCCTACCCCCGCCCACGGTGCCCCTGGCAGTCACCAACGGTGGACCGGGTACTCACCCAGGGTGCCCCCAGCAGTCACCCAGGGTGGAGCGGGCAGTCACCCACGGGGGACCGGCACTCAC